GGACGAGCCAAGGCGAGAGGGGACAGAGATGAAGCAAAGGCCGGTGCGGGGCGGGGGCGCGGGGGGGGGGGGGGGGGGGGGGGGGGGGGGGGGGAGTCGCAAAAAACTTGACCTTAAAACTTAACACTCACTATTTTTTTCGAAAATATATGTGAGTTCCACAATAAACAATATAGTTGTTTTCTAATGACAAAAAGTCAAACAGAATGCTATGTTTTGTAAAAAGAAGTTTTGTTTCAATGGTTTTTCCAATAAAACCTTCTATTTCAGAATTAAAATTATATACCCCAACGATGTATCCAATTATAAAAAGGATTGTACTTCAAATGTACCTCATTTCAAAATTCAGATTTGGCAGCCCTGACTATTTAACAAGTTTGGAATAGAGAAATATAATTTTCCATGATGCCCTTAGAAATACTGCCTATATCTTGTATAAGCAAAAGATTGTTCAAACCATTAGATTTTGTAACGTCCGACTACAGCTGATTCGTAAATTTATTGAGAAGTATGGAGAGTCAGACGCATCGAGAGGTTGATGGTGTACTGCAGAAAATCTTATTCGTCTGATTGATCCTCATTTTTCGTCATTCATACCTTAAACACCGACAAAACGCAATGTTCAGCGACATTGCGTAGCTTGCACAAGCACAACAAGAAAACCGAAGAAGAGAAACAATTTCAAATACGCATGTACTGAATATGACGTCAGAATTTGCATTTCTGATTATTTCATGAATTATCATACTCTGAAATATTTCCAAATATATTTTTTTTAAATTAACGCACACAAATGTACTATGCAAACCGTCGAAAAATTCCACTTGTCTCAAAAGTTACTATGCCCGAAAGGGATTAATTAAATGCTTACTTTCGACATTCAACCGCGTAGTGCTTTTATCGACAGATACATTTTTGTTTTGTAACATAATACTTCACATTAGTTCCGTTCTATTGATCTTTTTCTCTTTATCTCTCGCTTTTTAATACGTGCCCATAAATTTAATTCTCATTTGTTCTGCTCTTCTGCTGTTAGAAATTCCGTTGAATATTTCTATACATCTCACCTATAACACTTTACTATCAAGGAAAAAAGAATTGAATAAAAAATACTTTTTATTCAAGGCATCCTTTTGTTTTTCAATTTGAAATGCATACTCACACAAAACACTTCATCGAAATCTTAACTAGAAGAAATATCGAGGTATGTGCATGACAAATTATTGGTAAAACTATTTATTCTTCAGCCTCATATTTTTATTTTTGCTTTCGAATTTTGAAACAATATTTCTATTGAATGATTGCTAATGAGTATACTTTGAGACTAACATCAACAATAATTATCGAGCAACATCAAAGCCTTCTACGAGTAATCAGAGATCAGACAGAATGTAAGGGTCAAATAATGTTCCACTAAGCACTTTCCTAATCATATTTTTACATACGTGATCTATCTGAGAGCCTACTGGGCACTCACTTTTATACATTTACATTTTGTTTTCTATTAGAGAGTGTGCTTAGGTGAAGCTTGTACGTTGGCATATAAATTTTGCTTTATTTAAAGCTAAAGTACCCTATATTGACTAGCTTCATCATAGAAAAATTTCGATCGCCAAGATACGTATTTTATACTCTGCTTAGAGGTTTTCACTGTGCACTACTTAAACCACTTTCCAATAAAACTCAATAAAATTCGTATTCATTACTATCATTTTCTGATGGTTCAATCGATGATATAATAATTCATGAGTTAAACTGAAGAACTGAATTATTATCTCAGATACAAATGAAGTGAAGCGGTCGACTAGATCCTTCGATTTGAGTTCGAATTGAAGATCATCTCATTTGATGTGTACTAGAGTTGATAAAAGTGAATGCTCAAGAGGTTTTTAACTATGCTAGGTTTTTTGGGATACTTCCTCTCTTTTTCAAAATGATTCGATGGTATAAACAGAAAGTTACAGTGAGTAGATTGTATTAATCTTACGATTTCACATTATAAATTCTCAAGTTTTTCATTATTTTATGTTGAGTCATTTCGAAAATAAACATAAATACTACTGTGTGCTACTTCATTTGAACTAAAGTTATTTCAACAGTTTCAATTATATGCATTGATATGGAACTTTCTCGTTTCTAGTTTCAATCTTATGGTAAAGATCAACTGCAACTCTTGACCTTTTTTTAGATTTCTAGTGTACGTATCTGAATCTTTACTTTTAAGAAATCATAGTTATTGTGAGAGTCAAGCAAATTAATTCTGACACGACATATCGATTTAACAAGAGTGAACAATCCAAGAAAATTAGATTGGATAGTAAAACAAAAATTATGAAGACACTTACCATTCAGTACAACCACAAACATGTATGATTTGATGCATGAGAAGCGAATAAACATAAATTTATGCTTGTTAGATAGTAGTGCTGTCTTTGATTCACTACATCCAAGTAGGAAGGAACCTTTAATATTGTCGTCTTCATATAAACGAAGAAGATTTCGAATCTTATCGTATCAGACGATCCAATTTGTCTCAATAGACATGAGCAAAGTATGCGAATATCTGTGAATGTATCTTATGAAAGAAAGCATTCTGATACTCTCAGCAGGTAGTATATTCGCGGATACTAAATTTGATTTGTCTTAATAGAGAACTCGCTCAGTGAGCATCATACGAACGTGCACGAACACCTCATGCACTCCAACAAAAAGCTACGAACCTATTTTATTTACGGTTATTTCGACGTCTGAATGCTATCCAAACTTTTTATATTTCGAAGAAAATATTTTGAAAAAGTCAAGTTTTGTTTTATAGAGATACGACAGTAACGATGATGTTTGAACAAAAGCATCTAGAGAAAAAAAATTCCATTTTTGAAGGTATTTTCTTCCAAGATTAAAATGTCTAGCTTGAATTTTCATCCAGAAATAACTGTATATAACAGATATGCGTAAGTTTTTGCTAGCGTAAATGAGACATTCATGAATGTTCTTAGGGTACTTTCTGACCGAGCTCTCTTTTAGATCGAATTAAATTTAGTGTTCGCGGATATAGCTCGACAAATTATACCTGCAAGACTATTAGAATGAACTTTTCTTTCATAAGGTGTGCTTCTAACTGTTGGCGTATTTTACTAATAAGTTTTCTTTTCAGTTATTCTCGCAATATTATCTTCTATCGTTTGAGTGTAGTTTACCTCTTCACAGATGTATTTTATTTTGAAGCACATTGCACTCTATTGACGCTGCATTTCCGACCCCATGTACCTCAATCAAAGTCTCGGGAATGGGCAGCTCTATTTGTCTTTTGCCATAAGCATTGACTTGAGTCTCGTTTTCTTTCTATCTAAAATAAACTGAAATTATATACTTTTATGTAGTGTCAAAAGTAGAAGTATCACTTAATTCTATCACATTGGCTATATAAATGGAAGGGACAAAAATCACGTGAAGATGTGCTATACAGTTGACGAAAAACAACATCAATAAATAAAGCTGATTTTGGCAACTCAGATAATCTACAATTTATATCGAACGAATGTGTTTTTCCTTATCAAAAACAAAATTGTATCTAGAGAGTTCTTGCAGTTTCTATTGAAAATACGAAATTAGGGTCTGTTTTTATTCTATCAATTTGACATAAGAAACCTCAGTATCTAAAATATTTTTCAGAAATCTATTTTTCGAGCAGAACGTAATACTTCGACATATTCGTGTAATCGGACCTAGTTGTGTACGTAAATTATGGCAGAACATAAGGAAAATGAATTGACGCTTACTCCACTACCGGCCGTGTCAATATCATCATCATCATTGTCAATGAATCGGATCAAAACTGTTACTCATCATGAATATTACGAACCGTGTCCGACAGTGAAAGATTGGTTTAAGAGAAAGATCAATAATCCTAAACCAATCATTAAGAATTATTTTCTATCCTATCTGCCTTTTCTCAATTGGATCTATCGATACAATTTAGTATGGTTTTGGAGTGATCTTATAGCTGGTTTGACAGTCGGTGCTATTGTTATTCCGCAAGGTATGGCCTATGCTGGATTAGCTAAACTGGCACCACAGTTTGGCTTGTATAGTTCGTTTGTCGGCGTAATGATTTATTGGTTTTTTGCCACTAGCAAGGTAAATATAATTATGCAAGAAAAGAAAATGATTAACTTCACTTTCTCTTTTCTTTTAACATAATTATCTTCATTATTTGCAGGATATTAGTATTGGACCTGTGGCAGTCGTATCTGCATTGACGGGTAGCATAGTAGATGCCGTACGTAGAGATTATCCGCAATATGAACCACATATAATTGCATCGGCTTTATCTCTCATTTCTGGTTGTATTATTTTTGGTCTTGGAACGTTTCGTCTTGGTTTTATGGTCGATTTTATTCCTCTACCTGCCCTAGCAGCATTTATGATTGGATCCGCATTGAATATTGCCATGGGACAAATACCAGTAATGATGGGTAATAATAAATATTTGAATACACGTGAATCCACCTATTTAGTTTTTGGTCACTTTTGGAAACAAATTAAACATTGTAATTTAAATGCTGTACTCGGTTTAACATCCCTCGTTTTGCTTTATTTAATTCGCTTTATTTGTATCCGTGCTGGTAGACGTTTTCCGACTAGAGAAAAAGTCTTTTTCTTTATTGGTACACTTCGTGTTGTATTTGTGATTATTCTCTTTCTTTTCATTTCGTGGTTGATCAATCGACATGATCCCAATCATCCACGTACATCTATACTTGGTAAAGTCCCACGCGGTTTTCAAAATTTGGGTGTACCGTACATCGATCGAACATTAGTGAGTGCCTTTGCATCCTATCTGCCTTCGACAGTTATTATTCTTCTCATTGAACATATTGCTATAGCTAAATCATTCGGTCGGATTAACAATTATGCTATTGATTCCAATCAAGAATTGATTGCCATCGGTGTCACAAATATTTTCGGACCTTTTTTTGGTGCTTTTCCCGCAACAGGTGGGTTCTCGCGAACAGCCATTAAATCCAAAGCAGGCGTACGAACACCTTTCGCTGGTTTGCTTAGTGGTCTGCTGATTATTCTGGGTATTTATACTTTAACATCAATTTTCTATTGGATTTCACAANGATACTGCAATCCAAAACTTACTAGACCACAGACGATAACGGAAAAAGTCTTATCCAAAATTTATTATCATAATATTAGTTGAAGTATGATCAAATAGCATAGAAAAATAGAGCATTCTTTTCTCTATCAGGCTTATATAGAAAGAAAGATTTTTAAAGCTTACTATATGGCTAAGTAACGCCGTGATCAGAACTTTTGGTACACCCTAAGTAGATTTATTAAAATTATAACCAACACCAATATTTCTTTGTTTTCCGCACATCTCTACTACCTAACAATTAACAATTCGATCGATATGCATTGATTGTTTTGATATTTTCATCTATCTCAAACTAAAATCTTTCAACATATAATAAGCTGAATATCGTATAGAGTATTATGTCTATGTGTGGAAAACATAAATTATGTTTATAAACAAACAATACAGTGAACTACTTTTCTACTTAGTTCTGAGAACTTTCAACGAGACAAAAACATGTGGAGACTTCTATTTTTACATTGAAATTGAAAGAAAGTTAGGATAAAAATCAATAATCAGATATAAATTTAAAGTATCAAACTTTGTTTTTCACCTTGAAAAACAAAAATTCACTTTTTCGAATGTCTTGTTTGTCATATGCTGATTTCGCAAGTTTCTTTTTTCAGATAATTGGAAATAGATTTGTCTTATAACATAGATTAAATAAATAGAACATCGTTTGCTAAGTAAAGATTCGAAAACGTTTTCTTAACCCATGGGTCATAGACTTGGATTGAGCTAATCGAACGCTAACAGTAACCATTTTAAAATTTCTATTAGCTAGATATTGACACAAATACAAGTATTTTTTCGTATGTAATATTTATCTATGATACGCTGTAGTCGTAATTCTTTAGTCTATCGAATAACAATATATTTTTCTTCTTTTCATATGGATAATAAACCTAATGTTTACTCTTCCCCCAGTTAGCGTAGTTGAAACAAGCATGTCAACTAGTCAATAAATATCTTAAGGCATCTATGAGTTACACAGAATTCGTAAAAATCTTATTTTAGAAATAAGCGCTCTACTTATCAACGAATTATATAATAGATTTTATACCAAAATAGATATTGCGAATATCAAAAGAATTAAGAAGGATAGTTGTTGTAAAAATATCTTACGAATATGAAGAGCGACCAAGAAATAGCTTTGTTCACTACATAATCATATTTGCAGTAAGACAAAACACATGATGATATTGTAATAAAAACCATATCTTCATAGATTTTCTAGTTCTTGTGTTATTTCCAAAACACTAATTGTTCTTCTTTGTTGAATTGAGTAAAAGATGTAGTAAGGAAAGAATGTATATAACAAATTCATATTTGTTTTATATAGGACTCTATCAATGCAATCATGAATTAGTATGCTGATCATTATCATTTTTTTATAGCATAAAAAATACTCTCTTCCTGTGATAGTCCGATCTCGTCGTTTAATAACATATGGATTCCGTAAAACTCTAGAAATCTCCAGTATTCGACATTAAAACCCGTCATTATCTATATTGATTCATACCAATAAATCCAAATTTCAATAGGCTTTATTTTCGCTCAAATTTTACTATGTAATATTTCTGATTGAAGAATTGATTCTATCATAAGAATTTAAGTAAAGTTTAAAAAAAACGCTAGAACAGACAATTATTGTTTGTCTACTAGTATTCCAAGAAGTTTCAAATTTTTTTTTAAATCTTTTTTCTTGAATCCATTAAAAATTAATATAATGAAGAAAGTTAGTTCTTTTTTCAAGGATTTCTTTTGTTGTTCATGGAAGATTTTAAACAGAACGGCCAAGTCGTGGTGCTGCTCGTCTTCCATCAATAGAAGACTCTAATTCAAGAGGATAGTCATATGTTGCACCATCATCACCAATATAATATCGACCAGCATGATTTAAATTTGAAAGTATATGAGCTGAAGTATGTCGACCAAGACGTGGTGATGCACGACCAAGACGAGGTGAAGCACGACCAAGACGTGGTGCTGCTCGTTCAACAAAATCATCAGTGAATAAGATAGCTGGATAAATACTATCGTGCATTTGATGTTCAGTTAATTGTTCAAGATCAGTTGGTTTTGAATTAATACAAGAGCAACAAACTAATAGAAAAAGAAAAAGAAATTTCTTAAAAGCTCAATATCAATTTATATTGATATATACCAAAGAGAATAGTTGCAAGAAGTAAAATCCAGTTTAATTTTACAATATTCGAAGATATTTTTTGACTAATATCTATACAAAAAAGAACTTTTTCGTATGATACCAAAAAAACAAAAAAAAACAACAATTTTATCTATACCTGTTGATAGTTTCATGATCATATAAATAGAAGGAAAATATAATTGTGTCTGAAGTTAGTGATGAAATGCAAACAGTTTCTTTTTTTTCTTTCGATCTTATATTTATTCAACGCTCGATGTTCTCGATGCCGTAGGTGTAGATTTCCTTTGACGTTTATTTCAATTGCTTTTTTGATTGCTTATTGATGTCGTCTATGATAGTTTATTTAAGACAATACTTATCAATGTATTTTATATGCTAATTAAATTTTCTTTTTATATTTGCTCTGCATTGTCTATAGTTATCTACAATAGATTCATCAAATCAATATAGAGACAAGATATTTTTTTTATTAATAACATCAATTCTTGGCTTTTATAAGTATACTACTTCGTTCTTTTATTTATTTTCATTAGGAAGAAACTTGTGACGTGCATATTGATTGTGATATCCGGCTATCATTGTTATTTTATTTTGTCATGCAAGAGTAGAAGAAAAAAAAAGATAGCTAATATAAAGATAGAGGATGCTCGATGACATTGAAAATCTTGTTCGTGTAAGAAACAGCAGATATCGCCATTTTAATATAAGTTATATACAATTTTGATATTATTGTATAAAAATTGTCAGATTTTACGTAGAATAATATTAACAAATGCCTTGGAAACTTTTTTTCAACAATAATAATAGTAATAAAAATAGCAGATGTATCCGAATATATTTTATTTATAAGGTTGACATTATTAGTTCCAATAAAAGAAACATGTTTCTAGCAAAGGATAAAAGTATTCATGTTTATTTGTAGGTCAGAAAAAGAAAAATAAACAAATGCTATTGACTATTCCGAATAATTGATTTCGCAAATTGATTAACTATTTTGAATTTGATCTTCGAAGAATAGAATTTGATTCCTATATGCGATTGTCCAAAAGATATTCATATTTTATTGGAATAAAGCTTTTCTTCTCTTTCTTTCGCTATATTCAGGATAGAGTCTCTAAGGCCGAGGTATATCTATAGTGAAGTTTTCAGTAAGATTGAATTCTAAAATTTTTTTTCTGAAAAACCCATTTTATCGAGACTTCGCCAAGTTCCGAAGCAAAAATTGTCATCTGATCATTATCTAGAGACTCTGAAAGAAGATTTTTACCATTGAAAATTTATTATGAACCCATTGTTCGGTTATAAGAGCTTTTTGTCATTTGATTATTTACAACTACGTCACGTCATCAACGAAAAATAAATCAATTTTTTTTTGAAGAATCTAGAAAAATGTCGAAGAAAAAAATTTGGATAGAGATTCTTAGCTTCAGTTCGGAATTTTTTTAAACTACAATGCATCGAGTGAAAGTCAATGTCCTTCTTTTAATCATATCGATAACCTATGATTTTATCCATATAGATATACGTGTATACCAGTAAATGTTGTACTGCAAATAATCTTTATTTCTGAAAGAATAAAACATGAACAAAACGTATATATAAGATACAGAGATAAGAAAAAGAAACATCAAGATAATGAATATGAATAAATGCCATATATTCATATCATAGGTTGAGCCAGTGCAAACCTATATTTGATCGATAAGATGTCATTTGGTTGGAATCTTGAGGTTTTAATGTTATTGGTAATATTGAAACATTATCTAATAATTTAGCTGTAAATATATTATCATCATCGAATGATAAATTTCGATATTTAACACAAATAACTCGACTATCAATTATATCTTCATAATTAGATAATGGTGCTTTAATTTGTTCTCCAATAGATTTATTTGTTTATCATCATCATCAGACCATATACATCGTAGGTATATCAAGTGAATTCTTTCTTGCTACTTTATTTTCATTTTGAACATATAATTGTTTAAAATAATCATAACATAAATTATTTGAATGAATATATAAACGATCGTAACCAGGTTTATTATGTTTTTTTCTTCATTTGCTAATGTTGAGTAAACATCTTCAAGTATACGATGTAAACATTTCTCATCAACAAATGGTAATAAAACAATACCTTATCATTTAAAATGTTTACTATTAAGATCAACAGAAAAATTTAATGGATAAAAATCAATTGTTGAAGATTCTTTTTATATCATTAAAGATTGCCATTCAATAGATAGAAGCTTTCGAGATTGTGATGATAATACAGTCATTAATTGTTTTAATGGTTTAAATGTTTTTTTAATGAAAAAGTACTGGTATATCTTTAATTTGTAGAAAATCAGATGCAAATGGTGCATAATGATAAGGAAAATATCTAAAAAAAAAGAAGTCAATAATAATTCTAGTTAAGATGAATATTAAATACATACCAACCCCATGATGGTACATCTTGATAATAATATTGAAGAACCCAACATAAACCTCGAGTATTATTTTGTGGAACTTGTATACGAAATTTTTCCAAATCATTTTTATTAATATTAAATTTATTTTTATAATATCTTTCACACCAACCTTCTTCTCAAAGTTGAACTGTATTATTTGGATCATTATATTCTTCTTCATCATAAATTAAATCTTGTTGTTTAAATATTCGAGTATCAGATATTTCTTGTTCCATTTCATCATAACCACGTTATCTAGGTCGATTATTCGATGAAAAGTCAACCCGTTGCATTTGATCTAATTGCATACTACCTTGAGTTAAATTACTAATATATGAATTAGATTGTTGACCAATTGGTTGTCTTTCTAGTTGAGGAATGGACATCCAAAAAGGTCTACGATAAATAGATTTTTAAAAATTCGACATAATTAGCTTTATGATATTCAATAGAGAAGTAATATGATGTTCTACAGAAATTAAAGTAGTTCACAAAATAGTTGACTTGATTATACTTATTTTGCCTCTCTCTATCCGATTATGAACATATGAAAAGAAAACATTCACATAATATTTCCAATTGATAAAAACTTCGCTATAAACTATGTTAGTCAAGAAAACAACAGGGTAAAAACTAAATAACTAATGTTAATTTCTATATCTTTCAATTTCATCTTTGGGAAACTCATTTTTTTGCTATGAAGAGCTAGACAAACAAAAAAAGTCTGTATTTCTTTCGTTTTATTATTATGAATATTTCAGGAATTGGCGAGTTCAAGTTGTGACTCGCACTCGAAAGTTCGATGCTGTTGATTCAAGTCATTCAACAAAAAGTATAAGTTGATAATTGAACACCAAAAAAGGTTTCAGAAAAAATATATAGTGTCATGAAAAACTGATTGTTAATGTTCTTGATAAAAAATCAACAGAAAACGAAAAAATACCTAAAATATCTTGTGACTCGACTTTCCGAACTCTGGAAGGCTCGTTCGAAGTATAAAAATAACTTTGATCGACCAGAATTCAAATTTATCCCATTTTACTTTTATGCGTACACACCTTTTAAACCTGTAAGAATATTTTCGTAGTTTTAGTCCTTTTAATCTTTGTGCGTATGGCCGAACGAAACAAGAACATCCAACCTACACACAAAAGAACAAAATAATGCTAAATATGGGAGTCTCAGTAGTTTGAAAAGTATAAAAGTAAAACGAAATGAATTTAATTTCTCGTCGACTTGTCAAAAAAATAAACATACTGATTTCGGTTTATTGTCGATCTAAACCGTTTACGTGATGGTTGATAATTATTAGAACGATTGTGTTCTCGTTGTCGTTGTTGTTGATCATTTCCATGTCGTTTCATAAATATTTTCGTCTTCCATTTTACCAATCCTTGTTAAAATAATTTCAGCACGTTCCATATTTGGTATACCACTTTCAATGAAATGATCTTTAAATTTTGGCATTTTTTCCTTACATATACGTACAAGATGATCAATAGAATGTTCACGTATTTCAAGTGATGGTAAAGGTGGTAAAATATCGTTTCCAACAAAAAAACACATAAATACTCAATCAGCAATAGCACGTTCAAGAGTCCATTGAAATGATAATTGATAATCAATTTTTAAATCTCGATAAAGATATTTACGTAATACAGAAAGTCGTACAAATGTATATGGAGTTTCAATATTATTTTTAGCTGATATTAATTCATTATGTTTTGTAAAGTTTCCTTTCGGAATACCTTTACATTCTTTCATATTATGTCCTAATTGTCCACATATATCACATGGACATGGTTTAGTTGGTTTAAATTCTTCACGTATTATTTTAAAACATGGTTCATGTGTTGGTAAACCAAGCATAATTAAATCAGCATCAACACTACAAAGAACATGATGCTGTGTACATTGTCGACGAATATAATCCATTATTGTATGTTCACTTTCACCAGAAACATTTGCATCTGATAGAATAAATTTTATTGAATGCCAAGCTGGATTTGTATTCATTCAATGTCTTATATAATAACGAAGATAATCAGCTATTTTTGACATAAATGGTGTATCTGGTGTAATACAATTTGAATCGAAATGTTCAGCTTTTTGTTGATTTTTATCATCAGGTAAAAGATCACCGTTAGTACGTATTTCATTTATAATTCTTTTTCATTTGTTCAACTTTATCAATTGTATCATTTGATGCTAGAAAACGTCTTGAACGTTGTTGATTCATTTTAGCTCGTAGTGCAACACCATCAATAGCTATATAGAGTAATTTACGTGGACGAACAATAGAAAATAAACGATCAATACATTCAAATATTAATATCATCGTTTCATCTTCGTGTTATGATGGTGGACGATCTTCAGGATGTGTACATGGATGAATTATTTCCTTCATATCTAAATAAAGATTGTCAAACTAAAAAAAAAATTGAAATATTTTAAATTGTTTCTTTTTCTTTTAATATTTACTTCGATTCCATTCGGATTAGGATGTGTTTCATCTAATGGATGATAAACACTTTGAGCATCTTAAAGAAACAAAAAGAGAATTTAAACAGAATATTATTCAAACAAATTTCCTGCTGAAAGATTATTTTCAATACAATTAACAAGAATTGATGAATATTTTTTTGTTAACCAACGAAAAAATGCTGGAACTCCCATATTGTTACATTCAACAAAAAAGATAATCTATAGAAAAACAATGAAGAATACATAGTGGAAAGAGATACGAAAAAGATAAGTAATTATTTATTTGAATCACAGTAAAGAATGATGAAAAGAACGATGATAGGCTAACTAGTGATCTATAGTTACTATATAAATTATGGAATAAGGCTCCAAACACAGTAGAGAAGTAACACGATTTTCTATCTGTTTTAAGTCAGTATCCTTCCTCATAATAACAGTTAATGCGTCAGCGGAAGATTTAGATGAGAATACTGGGGCGATCGTCTCTTCCTTCTAAACTTTTTTTCGATCTTTGTCAACAGAAAACAACGAAAAACGAGTTGATACAACCTCTAATCCGACTTCAGAATACGTTTCGTGACTATGATTGCCCTCAATCACTAAAATATTCTAGATCCGTCACTGTAACCCACTAGTTCGAATTGATCATAGCTTCTATAATATGGTGAAAATATAGGAATAAAGTTTACTTGCAAGTAGTTTCATAGTTGTATAGGTATTTTCTAACTCAGGCACACTTTAGAAATTAATGATCTCTACAGAATTTAATGAATGTAGTATATACTATTTCATACTAATCAGCACATTCGAATGACATCACTTTCATTCGTCTATTATTATTTATCTATGCCGGAGTTAAATTTTCAGTTTTAAAACTAACTACGATCCATTTTCAAATCAGAAGATCTTAAAATATTTTTTAAAAATCTTTTAATAAAAAACAGGACAGCAATGTGCAAGTTTTACCTTTAGAAGGTATGAAGAAGAGACATCGGTTTATGTGAAGAACAGTGGATATAACGAGACACATGTGGGATTTTTTGGTACCATTAGCTTCCCTTAGCATATATGCAACTCAGTAATAAAAAAAAAATCTTTCATCATCTAAGTTTTCTCTTCAATTATTGTGATCACAGATATTTGGAGTGTTGCTTGAACATACATCGCCTAAACTCACGATTTCTAAAGTTAAAAGTTGCATATTTCTATTTAAATATGTTTTAACTATGTCATCAATCACTTTATTGAATTTATTTTTGGTTCGTCTGGTCTGTTTGGAGCCTAAAAAATGATTAAATAAGTACCCCTACGATCATTACGAATTAATATTGTTGCGCGCCCTCTATTCTTAAATATAATTGCATTGGATTATATTCAATCATACAAAAATCATATACATTCATTTCATTTATCAAGACAAAGAATAGAGATATTTCTGATAAATTTTTCAGAAGTTTATTCTTGTTTAATTGATGAAAGAAAAAAGAATCTTGCAAATATTATTCTCTGTTTTAAATTGAACTTATCTATGTTTCTAGTTTTGATTTTTTTTTATGGGAAATACAAACGGAAGTAAAAATCCAGGTGAACATACGATGAATTTTTTCAATACGGAACCATTTAATATTCAAATTCCATTATCACTTCGAGATCCAAGGGAGACTACCTTTTCAATTCAACAACTTGAACAATTGAAAATAGTCGATGATGCACGTAATATAGCTCTTGGATATATACATGATTTTAATAAATTTGCATCAGTTTGGAATTCTAATAAAATTCATCCAGAGACACGACGTTTGTTACGAAAACTTGTACAAATACAAACAATCAATGCTGTATGCAATGGGTTCGCAAGATAAAAAAGCAATTCATTTTTTTTTTCTGATATAACTTTCTTTGTCTTTATTTAGTTTCTATAGACTACCTGATAGTACTAGAATAGACTTAGACATCGATACAATGACACACGCTGCTGAAAATACAAAAATGTATAGTAATAATTATGAGTATGATGCAAGTCGGCAACAACGTTCTTATGATCAACCAGCTAAGATTTTTGTTGTCAATGGAGATTGTCTTGATACTGTCATGCATTTCAAAGAAAAATATTCAGATTGTAATCCAGTTGTACTTAATATGGCTGCTGCTAATTGTCCTGGTGGTGGTTGGAGAAATGGTTTTGTGATGATTTTTTCTGTAATCATATAGTTTTATCGTTATTTTCTTAAGGTTGTGGAGCTCAAGAAGAAAATCTTCATCGCCGTACAAATCTTTTTCAATGTCTTGAAGATTCTTATCATCAATTAGAAGGAAAACGAAATTGGCATTATCCTATACCTGAAGTCAATATTCATAATATTTCTTTTTATACGACTAAAATTGAGTTATTTTATAGTTTGGTGGTATCTATTCTCCTCATGTGAGTGTATTTCGTGGTTCGGAATCCCACGGTTATCCATTTTTTTCTCAACGTCCACAATACGTATCGTTTATTGCTTGTGCTGCCTATTCTCATCCATATACATCAAGAAATAAAGATGGCGAAATGGAACTTTATGGTCAAGATGTAATAAATAATACAATGAAAAAAATGGAAACTATTTTCAAAATTGCTCTTGAAAATGAACATGATACTGTTATCCTATCGGCATTCGGATGGTAAGTCTATCATTAGCATTAGAAATTGATAAAATTGGAATTTGAAATGTTACTAATGATAAAAGCGATTTAAAATTTTCTTAAATCTCTGAGTAAACAGTTCATAGAAAGAACTTTGTCGGGTTTGACGATCACTCTTAAATTGAGAAACCACCTATGTTATTTTATAAATCAGCTCGCGACGGGTTCAATAGTATGTAGGAAATTTCATTTTCACCAAGCTTTGACGTTACACGATTCTGTTTATTGACTGGTGGATACTGTAGAATATTATAGCACTTATGAAGGTTGTGACACCACCACATTTGTAAATCCACTTATGTAAAGTTTTTTTTTAACTGTCACTTATATATAGACTTGATTGCTGTTAAATTTTGTGTATTTGATAATTCACGTTATTGCTTTTATTGGTATCCAACACAGACTACATTAGTCATCTTTCCTGAAATATCGATTTTAAGATGTCTTGATGTACACGATACTGTGTCTTAAAACATGGTAGTATCAACGTGCAACTTTCCTATCAACTGCGCATCTTCTAGCTCTATAACTTTTGATTTTGACTGGTTTCTGAATTGGAGGTAATCCATGATCTAACCGCTGTATCATTACCGAGAAAAAGATCTATTTTTCTCTTGTTCGTGACGCAATGGTACCCCAGCATTCCGTTATTCGGTATTTCATTACGAAATTTTTCACCAAGTAAAAGTCAGCATATGGTTCGCTATTGATAAGCATAAATTAGAGTTTCGAAAATACCGAACAATCTTTTGACTCTCAGATCTCTGGAGAGAAGTACGGCAACTGGTCCATACCTATGTTCCTTCTACTTTCTTATGTTTCTTGTGATGTTAGATGTCTAAGCAGTCAAATAAGCTTATGGTATCTGACTCTATACAGTTCAGGGTATATTTCCTGCCTTTTTTGGAAAAATGATATTTTTCGAAGTCTCGTACCTTCATCCAGAGTCTAAAGACCAAAACTTTTTGTCATCGTCGAAATACTATGTTAATCTAGTATTCATCAATCAGTATACGGAGTCTCATAACGTCACAGTCTGATGAAAAATTCGATTTTCCATATACCATTTGATACACCGTGAATTACTCTACAAAACGATATACGTGGCTTTTGAATTGAAGAATTTTCGTCAAACTCGACAGAATCGTGTAGCTATGGATGTATCGAGCGATTTCATCGCCGACAGCAAATGAAAAAATTCTTGTTAAAAGAAGGATTTTTGAATTGATTTTATGCTTTAGAATTATTCATATTTATTGAACTCGAAATTTCATAAATAATTGTGTTATATATTTAGCGGTGCTTTTAGAAATCCTCCACGACATATTGGTAAGACATTGATTAATTTATACTAATTAATCTTCATATTTTTCTGTTTTTTTTCAATAATAGCGAAATTATTCCATACAGTAATTTCTAAAGAATATTCTCATGCATTTAAATATATTATTTTTACTATTATGGATGATCATAATTCTATGAAAGATCATAATCCTAATGGTAATATTCAGCCATTTGCTGATATTTTTAATGTACCAATTTTATATTTGCATGAACTTTAAAATAAGCTTATGAAATTTTTTTTTCTCTTTTTGGATTGAAATTATTTTTATTTTACTCTAGATATATATAATAATAATGTCAGCATTTGTTGAATTACTTCGTAAATCAAATCTTGATTATATTGTTGCACGAAAACCATTTAAAATTGGTTCACGTAGTGATGATGTTATATTTGCTTCATTTATTGATGTGAAAACAAAAAGATTACAAGTAAAAATTTACAGAAGAAGCAAAAAAAAGGAAGAATTTCTTTTTCTTTTTTTTTAAGTTAGTTGCATGTTTAGATAAGCCAGAATTAGTTACCGTATGGTCAACATCATTAGATGAACGTTCATTTCAATTAAATGCTCGTCTATTAGATATATCAGAACTTGGTGAAACAATGAATTTTCTTTGTGAACGTATAAATGAATCTGATTTTACACTTGCTAAAGCTGCATCAACAAATAGTGATGGTCAATATGAAGTTTCACAAGTTAATGTTACATTTACGCATCCGAAAAATAAACAATCAATAACTCTTCAACTTTATGAACATGTTGATGAAGGAGAAAAATCTTCATTTTTAAGTAAAATTCTTTTACATGTTTATAAACGTAATGAACAATTAACAGCTGAAGTTAAAACACAACAATTACGTATTAAAGAATTATCGACAAAAGCACAACGTGCACAACCAAGATCCATTGGTGGTAATAGAAGTTTTGATGGAAATCGATCAATGGATTCAAATAATCAAAAAGGAAATATGAATAAACCACATGGAAATATACAAATGAGTTTAATTAATCCAACAGTTAAACGACGTAAAGCACCAACTGGTGTTAATTATGATGATGAAGAAAGTGATTAAAGTTTTGTCAGAAATTTGTTTTTTCTTGTTTTGTATCTATGTAGATAAACATGAATATACTTGTACATATTTTTGTTAGATATCATTGTTCATAACGTGACGTATTTGTTTTTCTCTAGATGTTAAAAAATTCAATATCAATAAAGATGTAGAAGTAAAAAATGTAACATTCTTTTAATTGAATAAAATCAAATCAAATCGTTAAGATTTTTGTGGAACATAATCTAAAGGCTATGTTGAAGTATTTTGGATGTCCTTTCCTCACGTCATAGACCGTTATTAATAACGTTTAGTTATAATATATGACCTATTTTCTAATTACAGTTCTGAAAGATTAAGTGGTAGAGAAATATGTCTCAAAATAAATAGAATAAAACAATCTTTCTGTGATTAGCAGCAATAATTACATCGTGTTTCATATTTTAATCTGGCAGAGATTGTACGAACAGGTTTTATTTTGATAGACCATTTATTCGAATGAATTATAAGAATTACGATTTTTTATTGATTATTTTGAATTTGAACCTGAAACATTGTTCGCATCATGACCTTAATCAGACTAGTTTGCCTGTAAAATTACAACATTTTTGACTAAACCATCTCCAACATAGTAATATGATGATAGCAGAAACATACTTTTCCCAGGAGTCTTACGCTTCCCATAGATATTTTAGAAAATTTATATTTCAGAGATAATTTCTACGAAAATTTCCAAATTTTACAGTCGAATTAGCTTCATTCAAGTTTCGATTTAAACAAAGATTCAGATCGAAATTCAAAATTCGAGATTTTGACTTTAACGGAAAAGTAAGATACTGTAAGAGACATATAGTAAAAATTTGATATTTCAACTGAATTGCAACTTGCACATACATTCTCGTAGGGTTTTCTTCGTCTATACAAACTGTATGTTTGGATAAAGTTCAATCTTAAAAGCTTTTTCTTACTTAGAGAGAGTTCTCTGATAAGAATTGTACATAGATCAATACACGTTACACAATTTGATCAATAATATCATTCTGGCTTTTTGTCAGACGAGTAAGTTATATATCGACTAAATGAGATTTTTCATTGCAGGAAATTAAAGAAAAAAAAAACCCACGAGTTCTGTTCATGATTTGTTCGACTATAGATTCGGTCTGATTATTTACAAATTGACACACGATTCTTAGTAGAATAGACTTGATACTTTTCAGATTATAATGAGTAAATCATCAGCACCCGGTACAAAACAAATTCAATACGATCGTCAACTTCGTCTGTGGGGTGATCATGGACAAAAAGCATTAGAATCTGGTCGTGTTTGTTTAATTGGTGCTAATGCTCTGGGTACAGAAATTCTTAAAGCTCTTGTTTTACCCGGTCTTGGCTCATTTACCATCATTGATCATGAATTAGTCACATTAGCTGATTGTGGTTCGAATTTTTTTGTTCATCCATCAATGATTAATCAATCACGTGCTCGTGTTACTTGTGATTTTTTAAAACAATTAAATCCTGATGTTCATGGTATCTATATCGATAAACCATCTATTGATGATTTACTTAAACAAAATACATTTGATTTTAGTCAATTTAATGTTGTTATTACAGCTAATCTTTCAATAAATACATTAAATATTCTTGCTAATCATTTATGGATACTTAAAATACCTTTACTTGTTGCTCGTATTTATGGGTGAGATTGAATAGAAAAATTTGCTTTTTATTGTTTGTTTGTTTTTCTTTTTGTAAATAGTTTTATCGGTACGATTCGTCTTCAAGTATTTGAACATTATGTTATTGAAGCACATCCTGATGATACAATACCAGATCTTCGTCTTGATCGACCATTAAATGCATTTGTTAATTATTGTAATTCAATTGATTTTAATTCTTTAACACGTGAAGAACATTTACATTTACCATCGCTTATTATTCTATTTAAAACATTACAAATTTGGCAGAAACAAAATAATAGAAATGATTTACCATATACACGTATGGAAAAAGATGAATTAAAAAAAATTCTCGATCAATTATCACATCATTCAGCATATGATATTCATGATAAAGAAAAACATCTTGAAAATTTTGAGGAAGCTAAACGAACAATACCATCACGTCTTATTGATACAAAGCCTCCATTAACAATAAAAGAATTATTCCAAGATCAATCTTGTTTAGAATTATCAGATCAAACAAATATATTTTGGTTTATTATTCATGCAATAAAATTATTTACTGAAAATGAAGGACAGGGTTTATTACCTGTTCGTGGTGAAGTACCAGATATGATAACAAATACAAGTTCATATATTAAACTTCTAAAAATTTATCAAGAACAAGCAAAAAAAGATTGTGAAATTGTGAATAATTATCTTTTTGATTTATTAAAAAAATATAATCGTTTATCAAATGAATATATTGATTCATATGAACTTGTTGAAATATATTGTAAAAATGCATCATTTTTAAGAATATTAAGAACAACAACAATCAAAAATGAAAATGATTTAATAGATGAAACAGAATCAAATTTTTCTTGGTAATTTGTTTGTCTTCTTTTTCTTCGTTCTTCGTATTTTAATATTATTTGATTTTCTTCTTCAGGTATACTGGTTTACATCTATGTGATTTATTTTATGAAAAATTCCGTCATTATCCAGGAGAATTTGTTTCCGATGAAAGACAATTTGAAATAGATTTAAATGATTTAAAACAAATAAGTAAAAAACTATCTAGTAAAGATTTTATGAGTGATGATAAACAACAAATTCTTGAAGAACTATGTCGATATGGAGCATCAGAACTTCATTCAATTGCTGCTTTTATGGGTGGATGTTGTGCACAAGAAGCAATTAAATTAATAACACATCAATATATTCCAATTGATAATACACTTATTTATAATGGTATTCAACAATCAATAAATGTGTTTAAACTTTAGATGTTCGAAAAAAAAATGAAAATCAATTGAAAGATATTCAACAAATTTTTATGATGTTATTATTGTTTAAGTAAAATTGGAAACGAGTTTTTTTTTTTATGATCAATAATAAATTTTGTAGTGATGATAATAAATGCGAAACCAAAGTTATTATTTAAAATTGATGCGAAAGAACAGCTAATGTGAAAATCAAATTTTCTACATTCTTCCTTGGAAATAAAGCTTCACATGATAAAAAAATAATGAAAATCGATTTCTTCCATGTTTATATTCTACACACCATGGAAAGGTGTCATATTCCAATCGAATTTTCAACAGAAATATGCACTTTTTATCGGTAAAACTAAAATGATTTTCTAAACTTGTTAACTATTGTAGTGGATTACAGAATCTTCTATGTGAACTGTTGAACGGGACTCAACTTTGCCTCATTAATGATTATAAAAATCTCTATTTCTATGACTAGTTGGAGCAGTTCTTAATGCTTAGTGGTATGCATTTGTATTAAAATGTAGTGCTCTGCGGGATAGCATAGTGCTGCGAACTACGATATACAGAGCTCGGACGAAAGTATTTGTAATTCTATTTTTCGTACTTTTTCAAGTTAAAGTATAAATATCAAGTACTTTTTTTCAAGTACAAGTAACATACTTTTACTTGCTGTGCTTATACTTGTCTTAGCTCTGACAACGTGCAGTATTTATTCATAAAAATAAGGCTTCTGATGATGATTAATAAGATAAATTTCAGCCTGCTATTGTGGTAACTGAAATCATTATGAACTTACTTGGAATGATTTTATGATTGATCTCTCTTGTCTAGCGAGTTACATCACTGAGTTCTAAAAATATTTTCAATTTACGGTTCCTAAATTCTAATAATGGCTTAGAATCTTGATACTTTGCTTTCCTATTACTTTGAGAGAAATTCAAAAAGGATGATAAGAGATATATGTAGATATGTATAAAAAATAAATGAAGATAATTGTGTATGAATATGAAACAGGTCTCAATATTTTATTAGTATTTCTCTTACACATGAAAAAAGTTTACGAACAAGAGCGGTCAACAACGTGTCTTCAAATAATAAAACGCGCCTTGAAGGCATTTGCACACGTTTTGTTGAAACACGTCCTGAAGACTCTTTTTTTCGTTCTATTTCAATGCGTTCAATGAAAATTGGTTCACTCTAATAAATAACACGTCCCTTTTCGACTAGTAGTGTGTTCTACATCGATAAAAACGATTCCACACGTAACGCATTCGAACGTGTTCTATGTGTCAGCGTTCTGCTATTGTCGAAACATGTTTTTTTTTTCGTAAAAATAGCTGTTCTCACATACAAGGAACGCATTCCAATAGAAGGAACAAAAACGTCTTCAGGATGCCTTCCAAATAAAAGCGCATACAAATGTGTTCAGAACGCTTATTATTATTTGAAAAACATATTCTAAGTCGTTCTTGTTTACAATTTTTTTTATTGGGTTGTCACAATAGTTATCTCAATACTCTGCAACACTTCAACCTTCAGAACTGAACTTTTCAACAAAGATAGACTGTATAATCAATAGGTGATCAATATAGTGTTCGGTTCGAAGTGTTTTACTATGAGAAACTACTTTGCATGGCTTACTCTTTTATGTATAAGTAATCGTCGATTTATTATGCAAAAGTGCATGAAATATTTTGAGTAAAAATAGTTCTGGATATGCCAGAAATAGCTTTATTATATTAGCGAACGGTTCTTCGTGAAATTCTGCATCAAACAAGTCATGAATGGAAAGAAACTGAAGATTGTCGAAAAATGTCTCTTATGATGCACCCCTGTCTTTTATAAATATTGTTTTTCTTTGACCACATAAAGATAAAAAAAATGAAGAGTAGTAGATATCTTATATTGACTCTAGACTGAGGTTAAAAAAAGAACTGCAATTTGCTACTTTCTGTTATTTGTAAGGATGAATATCAACAAATACTTGGTAATACTTTTCTTATGCTTTGTAACATTCAAATCTGTTCATGTTTTGTCACGGTCCGAAATCAACAAGTCACAATATAATCAAATCAATGCTAATCCAATTCTTATTGAAATTACTTGGACAGCTTATGATTACGATCTTCATACAATTCCTTCTTTACAACTTGTTACAAATCCTCTTGTGTCTCGTCAATTTTCACCAATTAGTAATGAAATATTTAAGAATTTAAAATAACTCAATGCTGAATATGCTCGATATGCTGTTTGGTTTCCTTATCCAAAATTAGCTGTTGCTGAACTTGATCCACCATCAGGTTTATTTCAATGTAGTAATGTTGGTGAAAATTATTCAATACATTTATCATGTGAACAAGGTGACGGTGTAATAAGTAAAATTGATTTTGCATCATTTGGAACAGCTATAGGTGCTTGTGGTCAAATGAAACAAGGTACATGTAATGCAGCAAATACTTCAGATATTATTCAACGAGCATGCATTGGACAACAAAAATGTAGTGTTATAGCAAGTACTGATCTTTTTGGAGATCCTTGTAAGTATTATTTGAGAAAGAGAGAAGAGTTACTTTTCATTTTAGAAAACATCCCAACAATAGTTTTTATATATTTGTTATTTTAGGTGTAGGTATACCCAAACGATTGTTAGTTCAAATTGAATGTAATCCATCACAAAATAATACCTATTGGGATTTCACTCATATGGATCCAATGTTAGAAGATTTTCTTGAGGCAACTGATGGTCATTCACGTATTATTTCATTTTCTACTCAACCTACATGGCTCTTTCAACAAGATACACCACATATTTATCCAGATAATGCAACATATGTTGATTGGGGATATTCAGTTGGAACGAAATTCGTTGATGATACAATGCATGCTTTAGGTGATTATTATGGACGTTTGTTTGCTTGGTATACACGCGGTGGTTTTATAGATGAATATGGTTTAAAACATAATTCAGGATATGAATATGATTGGGATTATACAGAAATATTTAATGAAGTTGAAGCAGAACATCAAATGACTGTTGAATATTATACTCGTGCATATGATGCTGTTATTCAAGGTATTCGACGACATACAAATAATTATGATATGAAATATGTCGGCATGGCATTGGAATGTAAATAATTATAGGAGTTTATTGTCTGATGATATATATATATTAGAGTCCTACATGACAGTCCCGAATCCGAAAAAATTCTGTTTTGTTCCTTCTCGCACCTCAATCGAGGTTGTCCAGAAATTCTTTCAGAACGGAACAAACGAGATTCGGAGCAATATAGAAGCTCAGTTGACAATTTAAAAGATATGAATCTGATATATCGATCGATGTTTTTGAGATTAAATCATTTATGACCATATAGGAAAACTCTCAGCTATTAGTTGTTACTTTTCGCATTTTGATAGTTCACGAATAAAATCGAGTTTTTAAAAAACGTATGACTTCGACAAACCTTTTCTCATTTCTCAGTGAGAGTTAAGTTTGAAGAACGGATAGCTGACTTAAGTTGTGACTACCCAGTGAAAAGTATTCATGAGAAAATCAAGATTATTTTTTATTATTGCCTGCAAAATCCCACTTTTTTCAATGGATCACCCACTTTTCACCGAAAAAAACGATTGAAATTGATACAAGTCAATAGATCAGACGAAAAAATAAACTACTTAACTAATTATTCTTGATTATCTCGCCTCTAACCAGATTTTCGTCGACAATTGATTTTAATTAATTTATTCAATCGATTGAAATCTCAATAAGAATAAGGTGATTCAAGGATTTCTATCGATAAATCAACTACTGATATGATAGTAATTTGATTTCAATCATTAATTGAATTTAATCTGTTTAATCGATTGCCGAGGTGTTAGAAAATATCACTAAGGTCTATACAGAACCAAATGATTTAGATTAATATGCGGCATATTAGTCAGAATATTTAGTACTATCAAGACTACAATAGATAAAAATGTCATATAATATTTACCAGGACAGAATTTCTAGAACAAACATGATATACATAATCATGAATAATATTAGTGCCCTTTCAAAACCATAATTTAGACTCAAAAATTCAGCTAACATTACTCTTTATCAAGAGTGTTCATCTGAAACATGAATTATGTTTTATCGATTCCAAAAATTTCTGGTGAAGTGAAATTGATTATCATCGTAAATAGGAAACACACATAAGATGAGTAAACCTGTGAGGATACGAATTACAAAAAGTATTTCATATACACAGAAGTATTACATAGAAAAAAATAGAAATATTCATGCAGTTGATTAAAATATTTTTATTAATTTAAATCCGTTTCTTAATTTTTAATCGATTTCTGGTCGTTCCATCATCTCAATTTAAACCAATCTATGTAATAGTTCCAAATTTATTAGATTAGCTGTAGTTTAGCTTAGTGACAACTTCATAGTTTGTGAGCACGAGCGACTCAGCAAAGTCATGAAAAATTTGGGTACTACATTTGGATCTCGAGAAAAGCACACATCTTCGTTGTGTATGATTAAAATCGAATAATAATAATAAATTAAACTCGAGTAAGAAGGATAATCGATTAAAATTGATTAACAGGTAATAATAATGATAGATCGAAGTGGACTAGCAGGTAACAACCTAATGAAAAATTTGAGCGATTAAAATCGATTAAAACTTCAAAATTCTTTGGAAATATTTGAAATCGATAATCAAATTCTTGTGAAACAAAATCAAAATTTTAATCCATTAAAATCAAAATTATAATCAGAACCAATCGATTATTAGAACCTTCTAATAAATTGATATCGATTATAATTTTGATTTTAATCAATTCAAATCTTTATTTTGTTTCACAAAAATAGGATTTTCATTTCCGATTGGGCCTATAGAATTTTCAAATTTCAATCGATTTTAATCATTGAAATTTTTCACTGGATAGTACATACTGTTATCCTAGCAGCTAAGCGAGTCAAAAACAATTAGTCGACTACTGCACTTGGTGCAGTCTATCGCATTTCACTGAACGGGATTCGGGATACGAAAAAGTTTGTCCCATAGGTCTCTAGCATTATATATATATATATATGAATTTTTTAGATCACAATGAATTTGATTGGTATCGGTATTTTTTAAATCATTCAAATCATGCACCTGATATACCACTTGATATGATTTCGTATCATTTTTATGCAATTGGAAGTTCACGTATTGATCCTCAAAGTTGGGAATCATTTTTTAGTCAACTTGATACATTTACATTTGAAGTTGAAGAAATTGAAGAAATTCGAAAAATTCTTTCACCAGAAACACGAACAACTATTGATGAATTAGGTGTTATTCTTCCGGATGATAATAATCCAAATGCACCATTATTTCCATTAGTTTATTGGAATGCAGCTGCTGCACTATATGCTTATACATGGGGAAAAATATCTCGATATGATATTAATGTAGTCGGACATAGTCAACTTGTTGGTGGGTATTTTATATCTTATTTCAATTTTTTATTGTACATAATTTAATTTTTGTGAATAGGTTATCCACAATTACCTGATCTTCAACTTCAACCTCAATATCCAAGTGTTGCTTTACTCAATTGGACAACAGGTGAAGGAACAGCTAAATATTGGACATGAAAATTATTAATTGATACAGTTGATATTAACAATGATCAAGCTGTTACAACTCGAACATCGGATATTGATAATCAAAATATTTTTAGTCAAGCATTTATGAGTAAAAATAATAATCGACGATGGGTTTTGATTATTAATAAACGATATACTAATGTTGACGTATTTTTACCTGGATGTACTGGTGGTCGTATGCAAATTATTAATGAAGCATCAGGTTTTGGGCCAGCTACTGAAGTTACATTAACATTGAGTCGAATAACATTAAGTCCATTTGCTGTTGCTATCGTTCATATGCCTGCTGCAGAGAATAAACTTTAAACAGCAACAAATAATCTGAAAATTCATGTTTATCATGAACAAAAACTAATTCATAATATAGTTAGCAATATATGAATGTAGTATAAATTTATTTATTCAACTTGTTGATATGATTTTTGATAATATACCATAGATGGAGAGTGTCATTCGTTAGCTACATGATTTCACAAAAATAAAAGTGCTTATATCTCTAGACGTGCATATTTCTTTTACCTAATTTTCATGTCGCAGATGTATGTTGAGCTACGCTAGATACCCAAAAAAACTCAGTCCTATAGATTTTGATTCGTTAAATTATTATTGAAAAACCAGCATTAGTGATGTGACACAAAAAGAACAAAGGTATTTACTGAACATGTTTCCATTTAAAAACTAAATAGCGTATTTTGTAGAGATTTCTTCATGCTACAAAACCTTTGGGAAAAACTTCTTCCGAACATACTTAGGCTTTTCAAAAACTTGAGTTTATTCGCTGTCAGCAACGTGAATAAGTACGAATGTAGAACCGAAAAGTTGTCTTGTAATTGAATAAGAAGTTCAAAAACCAATTCTAAATGGTACAAAAAATTCTTCTTGTAGATCACGAAATGATAGCGAAACAAAATGTCTTGTTCTGAGACAAAAGCAGACCTCTGGAAAATCGGCTTTCAAGAAGCAATTATTTCTTTTAGTGCGATTTCACCATAATCATAATTAATAAGATGAAGTCTATTCTGAAATTGTTGTACTTTTCTGTCATAAGTTAAGATAAATGTGAGTTGAAAGAGTGAATATTTTCACCTCCATTCATAAGAAATAAACTTATATCTCTTCTCTTTTATTTACATTTCATACTATACCATGTAAAAGTAAATTTGTTGTCAACAAAGATTCGACATAATCATCTTATTATAATAAAATAGCAAACATGATTTTTGATTAATCTCAAATTATAATTATTTCAAAAATAATTGAATTAAAATAAAACAACATCTTGCTAAAGTATTTCGGTTTTTTTCCGATATAACATAGAGATTAGTTTTATTTTTCCAGCAGAATCATGTTTAATCAAGCTTACATTGTTAAAATTTAAATTCTTTCATATAATGCTTTAAGCTATCCAATGTGCAACGATGCACGTTCCATTTGATGATGAAATATTCCTTTTTAAACATATTATCTATAAAAAATATCTTTCGCTAGTTATGCATGCACGCGCATCTTCTGCTTGATAGACAGTCGAAGGATACACTCATATACGCGAGCATTATTACTTCATTCATATCAATTTGATAGGTATGAAAGAAAACAGAATGTGTGAGAGAATGATAGATGCTATCATTTTCTCATCTGTTCAAACATTTCGATTCTTGTTTTTTCTTCTCTTGTTTGAATTGATTGATTATTGGAGAAATAAAAATTTAATGTACCAATCAGTAATACGAACCAATAACAATAAAAAGATATAAGAAAGTGGCTAGATTATTTTTTTCATTTGCTATTATGTAACTATCCAATTCATTACTTTATGGAATATGAAAACTACTGCTATCAGTTGGTGATTAATAAAGATAATTTTTATATATATAATTTTTTTTGTTAAATAAATCGATTTTTGTTTCGCTTTCTTTGAATGTATGTGAATTAAAAAAATGAGAATTTGATTTTCTCCTTTATTTTGATAGGAGAGGAAATTTTTCGTTTTAGTCGCAGATGCTTCGCTGTGCTCTATACAGAATGTTTCATAAGTCTTCAAGTGCAACAAAATTAGCTTATATGAAGATAAAAAATAGCTTCTAACCGAATGTTTTTTATCTGAGTCTTACGCAATCGTTTTAATCTTTCAAATCACATATTATTGGATTTATATCTTCCCTTGTAATATTAAAAAATGAAGATAAATTTTTCGCAGTCGATCAATGTGATCGTTTTCAAGGTACTTCCTCCTCAAATAAAATCAGTTCTTATGGAAGAAACCATGAAAAATTGAGATAAATGCATGAAAAGATAGTTCGAGGTCTGACTTTTCATAAATAACATGATTTTTTTTTAATCTGGCAGCCCGTTTTTTTTAATTGTGTTTTGTTACTATTATATAGAAGAATATTCTTATCATTAGAGCGTCGTTTTTTGAAATGCTGAGCTTTTTTCTTCTTCAAAAGTAAGAGTATAAAATAAAAGCTCTGTCATACTATTCGTTCTAATGTACTCTTTCAAAAAGAGAAGGCTCACAGAGAATTTTTAAGTTGCCGAATGAGCTATTTTTGATCCATGTTAGTTGAATGTTTTCTGAAGATATCATGATAACGGGCTGGAAACTTTATAATAGCCTTTCTACTACAGCATTAACATATCCTGAAAATTTCATGCGACTTAAATATACCTGAGGCCAGATCGATTTTTCAGCAGTCTTACATATTTTTTTGATGAAGTGCTGAACAATTCAAAATAAAAGTGTATCTTATTCGTTAATTCGACGCTCATCAATATCCACTAGGCTACATGTTCAATCAAGTTATATACTCAGTAATCGAATTAAGATAGATAAAACTTATGAAGATGTTGCACGCAGCACAAAATGCAAATAACAAAGATTGTATTTTGAACTATTGATGAATTGTTTTATAATTAAATTGTATTTTAAGAAAGTCACACTACATATACTGACGTATAGCTTACTAAAATCGTATGGACTACATGCAAGGAAAAATTACGAGAAGTTCAAGCTTTAAACGGTTAAAAGCTAGATTAAACAAAGAATGAAAAACTAACTTATAATGATTGATAGAATTTCTACGAGACTTGACAAATTAATAAAAATTGGCAAGCAATATATATATATGATAGCTAGATAAGATCTTTGTATAATGAGATTAATATAAAAGTGTTTTTCATATTTTTTTTTGTAATAAAATATCTTATTGATCGATTGAGAAAAATTTATCCTCACTTTTATTATTACAAGAGAAGATATAATTCAATAATATATTATTTGAAAGATTGGCATTAGTACTCAAAACTTATAGAAAAACATTCGACTAGAGGATTAGTCTCTGTCTGTATATAAACAAATTTTGTCGTACTTTAAGGTTTATGAAACATCTTATATGTATAATTTTTCTGCGAATTTGCATGATTCATAATTACTAAAATCAATATGATGTTCAAGTACATGTTGAGGCGCTTTGTTTCTCCTTCTAGGTCGAAACAATATATATTTTTATGAAAAGAAGGCGAGTTAGAGAGACAGACGACCTTGATCGACTATATATACAGACGTGCTTTTGTTGTCACCAATCAAATTTTTATATATTTTGTCAGATAAAAACGAAACGAAAAAAAAAAGAAAACTAATGTGTTCAAATGAGATGATGTTTATAATAAATCTGAACTGTATTTTTCACACTATGAAGTTCTTATCTTTTTTGTAGATAAAACAAAAAGCAAGCCTTTTTTTGTTACATTGACGTAAGTAATTACGACATTTTCTTATATGTTTTTCCGTAATATTAATAAGAGAATGATTTTGTGAAACCTTATTTTGTCTACTATTTCTGACAAGTCCTATTAATTTTTTCGATAGGGAATTGATCTTAATAGAGTATTATCATTGATTTAATTTTTAATTATTTTCTATAAAAGATTAGTCGGAATTTTTGAGCATATGTGACACATTTACATGAAATAATACAAGAGAAAGTCGTTCTCTTTTTTTTTGTCTTTGGACACTTTTTGTATTTATTAAATACAATGTAATGTCTCCATTGATGTATAGAATTATTTTAGAAGGTAAACTTGACATTGATTCAGGTTATTATTTGGTATAGGTTTATTTGTTTATAGGTCACAGCGGTGTTAATCAATTAGGTGGAGTTTTTGTAAACGGACGACCATTGCCTGAAACTATTCGACATCAAATTGTGGAACTGGCTCGACAGGGTGCAAGACCGTGTGAAATTTCACGAAAACTACAAGGTTAAAAGAAAGAAATACAACTACTCGAAGATCTATTTAATCGAATTTTTCTTGTTATAGTATCGAATGGATGTGTATCTAAAATCTTGGGTCGATTTTATCAAACTGGTTCAGTGAAACCAAGAGCTATTGGTGGTTCAAAACCGCGTGTTGCAACACCAGGTTATTGCTCATCTTCTTTTGTTTGAGAAAAGTATAGTTTTTTAAATGTATAATTTCATTAGATGTTATTGCAAAAATTGCACAAATTAAAACTGAAAATTCTTCAATATTTGCATGGGAAATTCGTGAACGTCTTATTAATGAATCTATATGTACAGATGATAATTTACCGAGTGTAATTTGACATGATTTAAATCTTTTTTTTTCAAATAATTTTCTTTATGATTCTTTTTTTGTAAATTCATAGGTTTCTTCTATCAATCGAGTATTACGTAATTTATCTTCTTCATCATCGATAAAATCTACTTCAAATTTTCAATATGATAGTTTACTTAATCCATCAACATCATCGTTTTGGCCAATAATAGGAGGGTCAAACGTTCCAACCAATTCAACATATACATGTACTTATCATAATTCAATACATAATACAAGTAGAGCAATAAATTCATGCAGAAAAGAAAAATATATAAAAATAATTTTTAGATGAAACAAATTCTTCAATCGAAGGAGTTAAATATGAATTAATGAATGAAGATGATAATAGTATCAATGATAATGAACGAAGTATAAATAATGATTTCGATTCAAATGTTTCATCAAAACAAAAAATACAACGTAATCGGACAGCTTTTACTCCAGAACAAATAAGAATACTTGAAAAAGGTTATTTTTATTATTATTATTATTATTAATGTTTTTTTTTTAAACATCATAATGTTCTGTTCCTTTTTGTTTAGAATTTGGACATACACATTATCCAGATATTTATGTACGTGAGCGTTTAGCAAAAAATTTAAATCTACAAGAAAATCGTATACAAGTAAATCTTATTTGTTTTTATATAATTCAAATGATAAAATTTTCACTTAAACTAAGGTTTGGTTTTCTAATCGAAGAGCAAAATGGCGTCGTGAAGAAAAAACTCGTAATCAAAAACATACATATACTGCTGGTGAATCATCAACAAGTAATACAAATATTCAATCCATAGTTCCTCCAACAACATTATCTATATTCACTCCTCAACAACCACCAGGTTATACTATTGAATCAAATATTCCACAATGTTATTTTTCAACGGGTATTGAACAAAATTTATCTGTTCAATCTCTTAATTATACATGTTCATTACCAGATTCAACATATTCATTATCAACAGGTAATAACAGGACTATCGTGGTGATTGAGTAGCAGGTTGGCTACTGAGAAAATAGAGTTCACCACATTAGAAGAAGTCAACAACTAGAGTTCGGCGGTTCCAGTTGCTAAAAATGCAAAAAAAAAACAAAACGGTTTCGGCTCGATTCCCAAAACACCACGTGAAATTGAAACCGTTAAGTCATCAGACAGATATAAAAATTTTCATTATTGCATTGTTGAAATTAAAGATGTTATATATTTCAGTACTTAAACAAGATGATATTATACATACATACTGAAATCTTTAATCTAGCGAATGAAAAAAATGAAGATTTCTTAACAGAAATTTGAAAATTTATTCATCTATCTGATGATTTAACGATTCTGCTTCGATTTACGGTTCCGATTTTTTCGACATTACAGAATTTTATCGATTATTGAAAAAGTAGGGTTCATGATATTGAGGAGTCAATTCTTTTTGCGAGATTCTTAAGCCAAAAAACGAAAGTTTTCCAAGATTGGGGTCACTCTCCCATTCAAGGCATGCTTGGATAATAATCTCTTACTGCCGTATTTGAAATAATTTTTATTATTTAATTAGGAAACTGTTACGAAGATCTTTCATTGACACAAAAGCCATCATCTTATTATCCTTCTGATTATAATACACGTTCATCCAGTACAATGTGTCAATCATGTACGTATTTCTAATAATAAAAAAATTATAAATAATATATTTATTTTTCTATTTAGCAAATTTTCTTCAAACATCAATGCCATCATCGACATTTTGGCACCGATTTTAATAATAGATTTCGTTTTTCATTGACTTTATATGCATTGTAACTATGAAAATAAAGTTGAAATAACAAATATTTGATACAGTGTCACTACTAAAATCAGATCAGTAACGGTCGAATAAATGGTTCATTCACTCAATCAAACGTATTAGTGACTGAGTAGCTAGACAAACATAAGCAATATTATGATCAAAAACGACAACGATGAAAGATTGATTCACATTTAAAACGAAGATGATTATTGCTCTTTTGTTTTGCTTTCTTATATTGTTCATTCAACTCATCCTTTTAATGTTTAACATCGAAACGTCTTTCTTATAAATATTATTGAGCACAATTATTGAAGCAAGAAACATTAATATAATGCTCAGTCAAATATAAATAAATGTCAATAATACAACAATGAATAGATATTGGTGAAAACAGTAATTTTGTAATATTGGATTTGCATAAATAGAAAAAATTTCAATAACGACTCTTCGTAACGAATCGTTTCATAGATAACAGGTTTTTACGTGTCATTTTTTTTACACAACATGAAGAACTACAATTTACAAAGAAATGCTAATTGAATATATACACCATTTGTTTCCTAAATAGTACAAAATTCTGTTTGACTAAATTTTAGATGCTGCGAACAGGTTTGTTTTGTTATTCATCAATCAATGAATCATAGTTTTTAACTTCATCCCATATATTGGGATCACAAAAAAGTAATTTGATCGGATTAATATTTATTTATAAATTCTTTGCTTCAGAAGTATCAACAATAAGATTTGTGAAAATACTTCAACGTCAATTTTCTCTTCCTGTTTTATTTTGATTTAAATTTTTACTTAGTCTATCTAACACTTTACAAGACCTTTTTCGGTAGTTTTACATAGAAAATTGCTCAAGAATCCAAGTGGTCACAGTTAACTTTCGATAGGGTACTATCATGAGTACATACTTACAAAGACACATAGGTACCTAAAAACTCTTTGAAGTATCTAATTTTATGGAGCTGTTTCCACTAATAATTTCTATTTTGATTAATAAATATTAAAACACATCGAATTGCTCCGAAATTTAAGAAAAATTTCACGTTTTCAACTAATTTGATCCTAACACACATATTTGTTAATCAAAATAGACACATTTTTTTACGAAAATGATCAACGAAAAGAGCTCTACAAAATGTAGAATCTCAAAAAAGTTTGTGGATACTTTTGTGTTTTTTATGATTGATTACTGATGAAATTAATCGAAGAAACGTGGTCAAGTTTTGTGTTGATCTAGATCTTGTTAGATTTCAAGCGTATCAATAAACTGCTAATTTATACATAAAAATTTGGAATTTTCTTCTATGATCAGCTAAACAATAGGCTCTTTTAGTCAAATTGTAATGAAAATATACAATGCCGTTGTTTTGGGAAATTATCTTTCGGACATCCCCTTTGTAGATTATTAAACTACAGAATGAAAATAGTAACATGAGTAGATATTCATTAACGATCTTCTTTTATAAAACTAGCTTTTATTCTGTCAAAGAAAAACTCATCTCAATTTGAACGATCCTGTTTGCACACTGGCAACGTGCTTTGGCTACGTTTGATATTGTAATTTAAAAAAAAAAAGCAGCTCACTTTTTCAAAAATCAGAAACTGCATAGAATAACAATAAAGATCTCATAATTACTTACAATCTTTTACTTGTAACAGGTACGTATATAAGGAAAAATCTCATTTATAAAGAATAGAACCTATAATATTAATGATTAAAGCAAATGTTCAGTAGTCGATCATAAAAATAAAACAAACATTTGGTACTAGTGTGTACTCTTTCATTTTATGAATTGTAATAAATGCTCAAATTTTCTGTTTTTTAATTAAGAATTTTACAAGTAGAAAAAGTTTTAATTTTTGTTTTTATTAAAACTTATTTCATATTCATTATTTTATTATTATTAAAATTCATTTAAATAAACTAAACATGAACATAAAACTTATAAATAAACCTGTACAATACTGTTATTTAACAACAGCCATCTGCCTTTAAGAGAAAAAAGAAAAATGAGAAGAGAAATAGAAAATATTTTATTATGTTTCTGATTCTGTTAACATTGAATCTTCATCATGTTGATATTGATGAAAAATATTTGTTGTACTATTTTGATGCATATCTGTTGTAGGGATTAAAGGATCATAGGATATTGACAATGGTCCACTGATTTCTGATGTTGACATAAATTCAGGTGGTTTTGGCCATGTATGTTCTGAACAATCACCTTGTGGAGATGATTCTGCTATGAATTTAAAACTAGTCTGATTTGTTAGTTCTTCTAATCCACTTGGTAATTGTGAAGGTTTTCGTAATCGATAAGGTACAGGTGGTGGTGACACTTTTTTCATTTGATTTTCGTCAATTATACTAAAATGAAGAGCAATGGAATTGAGATTTAGATTAGCTGTAGTTGAATGATGTTTCAATGATGATTTATCATTATTATTAAAATGTACTTGTGAAATTATAGGTGGTAATGGTGGAGGTTGTGAAGGTGGTTTAATATAACGTAATGTACGATCTTTTGGTTTTGGTGAATCAGTAAAACAATCATTTTGAATTCCACAATATGTAGAATCATGATGAATATTTGCTGTTGTTGTTGATGATGATGATGATGATAAATGTCTTCGAGATCGACTAGGCATTGTTTTCGAACGATTTTTTATTATTTCATCTGTATTTGTTATTGATGATGATGATGAAAGTGCAGGTGAAACAGGTAGAACATAAATACCATGAACTCGTTTTCGAAAATCGACTGCAACTTGAGAAGATGATATTTGATTTTGTGAAAAATAATCATTGTTTATATGACTAATGTTTTCTTTTGTATGATGACGTCGTGGTGATGTCAAATATGATCGAGAATGATGTCGATTTATTGGTATAATAGATATATTTGACTGATCATCTCGTGATTGTTCAATAGATGATAATGATGTTGCATTATCATCTGATGAATTTTGAGAAATTGGATTACCTAGTTGACATTTTTGACGTTGAATCCGATTAGGAATATTTGTGGAGAGACAGGGTGATTTTGGTGGCATTAATGCTATTCTTTCTGTTTCTAAATTAAAAATTTAAATCTTTTAAATGATCTGTTTAATAATAAGTTTTTATTATTTTTTTTTTCTGAAAGACAAGATGTTTGTTTACTCTTGACTCTCTACAAAGCATTTTCAATCAATCAAAAGCTATGAGTTTGTGTTTTTTTCGAATACGGAATTTGTTTTTAATTCGCATCCTCGTGATTCGAAACAAAGACTGAGGAACTTTATTTATATATCAGCTTGCAGATCAGAAGATTACACTGCAAAATGAACTATTTTTTTAACTTTCGATATGACAAGTCAATTTTCGTTTTTCATAAATACTAATTTTTGAAAAATCAACAATTGTTTTACGTTGAAAGGAGCTCTTGAAAAAATGATTACGTAAAAGATTTAGCTTAATTCAATGTTACATTGGTGAAGAAGTGTTCGCGCTACACAACGATTGATTCTAACAATTTTCTGCATATTTGAAAAGAGACTTCGCGAGTAAAGAAAAACCTGTTGGATTTTTCAAAAAGATCCTCATTACTCTTGAACAAAAATAAACATAAAATTTCTAGATCGATATTCAAATTCTGGTCGTGATCTATAGTTTTTGATTCTTCTAAAATACTTTCAAGCTGGCTAAAATGAACAAGCATCTTGTCATTCAAATTACTAATGACTGTTTGTCTCAGATGACTCGTTCGATAGCACGATGGGTATCTTTTAGCGTACACCTGCTCTTGTAGTTGGTTAGTGTATATGAGGACCTCAAGCATGCGAGCGGAAGAACTCAGTACTCCATATTGAAAGACAAAGAGTGTTCTTCTTTTTCTTGTTCACTCTAATTCATATGACATTATGATTTAACACTATTATTCATAAATGTAAATCAATGCTTTTGTATACATTCATCGTTTACTTTCAGTTATAAACACATGAATATCATTTTAAAGGTTCGATTCAACGTCAATTTAGAAGCATACAAAAGCATTTTGTATATGTATATATATGAACATAGGAATGATAAAGGACAAAGTGTACAAAAGAAACAAAGCCATAAAGAAAAATATTTATTCATCTTTTTCAAATAAAAGATGAAGTTGTTTATATTGAGATTTTCTTTTTTATTCTTGATTATGATGTAACAAAAAAATGACAATTTAAAAAGAAAAAAAAAACATTTCTAATAGTTTATAATGAACTTACCTATATGTGATGAACATAATGTATAAAAACAATAACGTATTGTTGCAATGATTACTGATAAAAAAAGAAGACTAATTACAATTACACCAATCCAAAATGGAATTTTGTAATGTAAATCATTATCAGTAAATATATCTGATGCTTAAAAACAAAACATGAAATAATGAAAATAAATAAATAATGTTGATTTCTTACAATCATGTTCGTCAAATAAATTCTCATTCGAATTTTGAGAAAACGATGCTGTATAATTTTTAAAAACTAAACTTAAATACTGTTCCATTGATCAATGAATTAGATCATTAATCAATCTAAAATGAATATGAACAATTCACAATACCTATTTGATAATACAGGCATCTACCGTTATGTCTAGACGATATATATATATATTGATAATCATATGCATCTCAAGTTGACATGTCAAGCAAATGCACGATAACGATGACAATTCAAATAATATGTGTAGAAAGCACGCGTGATTATTCGACTCTCTATATGGAACAATAATATAACTGACTTGCACTCTGTTCAATGATTGTGATGTAATTATTTTACTAATGTTGAATAACAGGGTGGTACGAGGAACATCGACATTGAACAAGACTCTATATGTTTCTTCTTTTTTTCTTTTGTTCTTTTCTCTCTCTCTCTCTCTCTCTCTCTCATCAATGAACAACAAGAGAAACACAAACAGTAATAGATAAAAGTATTTATACAGCTATATTAGTAAAAATTGCTTGATTATTGATTCATCAAGCAAAAGAAAGAGAAGAAATCGGTCGACTATACTATTGACCTGTTTGTACCCTGAACAATATCTCGAAGGATGACTAAAAGCGATAATGAAGAAAAAAAAAGAAAAAGAAAAGGGCATATATCTCTGAAAGAAGTATGAGCAAATAAATCATGATTATATCTTGTAGAATAAACTGTACTACGTAGTGTTTATCTGGACACATATAAGAAAAAGAAAGAAGAAAAAAGATCCCTTTCATTTCTTAGATCTACTACTATATATTCATACCCTTTTACCTGTAAAGAAGTATGAGTGGATATATAATAAGATCCATTCAAATGTAGTGAAGAGCACATATATATTTATATAATTCATAGTCTGCTTATGTAATGCAATCAATGAAGACATACATAAGTGTGCAGAAAGAAGAAAGAAAAAAAATGAAAGGATAACAAAAATCGAATAAACTCAAATAAATGATGAATATTGTGACAAGTTGTTTGCTCGATGACAGAAATATCAAGTATCATCTCCTGTTTACCATATGTAATATCCTTCCGTTCTGATATGTAGCCTATGAACAGAAGACATTCAAAAAATCGAAGGACGATTATGGCAGAAGCAGTATCATATTCTGCTAATCTATTATCGAAAAAAAAGTCCTTGTACTGAACTAGCTTTCATCTATCGCTATATCTCTCTGATACATATGTTGCATTCAACATACCCTTTTTTTATGTTTTCAATACTCACCATGTTGAATATAGATATTACGATAAATCATGATGGATAGAAAAGAACTCAATTTCATCACAAACGAGAGCAGGAGGAAAACAAGCTCATGGTATTGATTGACTATGTATTATTGTTAGTAGTCAACATTGAAGAAATAAAAGAACAAAAAAAAATGCATTTATGAGTCTCTCTCTACATGTCTTTTACTTAAGGTAATGAACATGACGAACAATTATTCGATTTGTAATTTAAAAAAAAATAGAATCTTGACGTCACTTTATGTATTTTAATGAGTATTGCTTTATATCAGTCAAATACTTCAATAAATGTCGGTCATCATTTTTCTCATATCCACTGTACACATAAGAATAAATGAATGTATGTCAACCTCGTTTCATCTTTCTTTCCATTGTCTCATCTGTTCAATATGTATGCATTTATCGTCATCATAGTTTTCGTGACAAGTAAACTGCATCTCTTTTTCTCTATTTATATACACATTTGGTTTGAACGACAAAGCAATTAACTAAGTTTTCATCGATGCTTTCATCATCTTATCTGTTCTATTCATATGGTATATATATAAATATATACATAAAATCATTCAAAAAAAAATGGACAATCATTCGGGTTTTATTCTCATTTTTTGTTTTTCATTTCGATTAGATGTCTTATGAAAATGCTTTATGCCATGCATCACATACACCACAACAAAAAAAGTCAACACAAAACTTAATGCAACAAGTAAAAGCTGCATAAATATAAGTAAAAATTAAACTATAAAATGCAAACCAATAGAGTGTTGCATGACAATAATTATTTATATCATTTGGTCTATCTGTTCGAACACGATATCGAGCATTAAATATCCAAATATTACCAAATATAAACCAAATAAAAAGAAATATTGCTAGAGTACCTTGCATACCACGAATTAATGCTATGGTACATATTATAAATCCATGTGTTGGCTTTTGTGTATTCGATATAGATCGATAATATGTACAAGCAGATGATGAAACAACTAAAATAACAATAACTAAACCACAAATACCAGAAATTATCATATACAATGGAATATTCTTATTTACAGGACATTCTTTTACATAAAGAATACCTAAAATAAGTTTGATAATAGGCAATGCAAGAAGAAAACTTAGATAAATAAGTGCTGCAACAGTACTTAAACCACCGGCGGATAGAGTTGTAAATAAACCTGGAGGCTTTTCACGTGAAGATTGTTTTTGTTTAATTGGTTGAGTAATAGGAATAGGTACATTTCGTTGAAAAGGAGATGGACTGATTTGATATTGAGTAGAAACAGGGGGATGAGGTGGAATTAATGGTTCCAGTGGTAAATTTTGATAGAGTGGTCGTTCAGAATGATATGTTATTGACAATGGACTTGATGATGTAGAAGATTGTTGCATACGTGTAGGCCTTGTACAAGGTATCCATATTGAATTATTTGTAGGTACATGTATAGTTGGATGTGGTATAGTCAGTATTGGTCTTGGAATACGAAATGGTTCTCGTGGCATAGAACGTTGATGTATAAAATCTGTTGAATTAATTCCATCAAAATCATATACATCTAATTGGCGTAAAATACTAGATCGTGGTGTTGGAATAGTAGGTATATAAAAATTATCTGATGAAAATGATGTATTACTACTAGTGATCGATGGTGATGATGGTTTACGGATATAAGAAAACATTGTTGTTCAATCATAGATTTAATACTGTTCTGTTTTGGAAATCGATCAAAAAAAAAAGACAGCGTCAATTCTTTTTCTTTTTCTTTTTTCGTTTCATTTTCTAAAGAAATACTGCGTGGTAGTGTTTGCTTGCATATACAAAAGCAAATAATGTAAAAGATGATGAACGAATAAAGATGACATATAATTGAAGAAGATTTATTATTGACTAGAAAAATGTAGATGATGTCATCGCATTTGCAAATAGTAATCATCTACTTTTGATCTTACTAACAATTACTATTTATTTCAAAATATATATGTACTTATATGATCATTGTTCAGTTACTTACGAAAGATTTTTGACAAAAAACAAGAAAAACAAGAAAAAATTATGAAAATAGTGTAAACTATTACTTACTGCTTGTTTGAACATAATCACTAATTTGAATTTGTATACTTTCGGATTGTTCTTTTCTGACAAAAAAAAATTAATGATAAAAATGAGACCTGTAGTTTTTCACAACGGTTTATAGCCTTGTATTTTAAAGGGAATAAATTTAATGTTCAGTGTTTTTTTTGTAAGCACTCAGTATACTATACAAATTATCAGTACATAAAAGTAGAAGGAAAGAAGAATACATGTGTCTCTCGACTACCTTTCAGTATAAATTATTGTTTAGCAGCGAATTCATTAGTTCCATATCTATCCTGCAACTAATAATAATAGCTGTAGGTTGGAATAGAAAGCCAGCCTGACGTAGAGTTCTTGCGCTCAATCGCCTATACTCCTCCTTACACACTGACGAATCACATACTAGCCGCGATGGCAAGTTTGTGTCACCACTTACTCAGTATATTTTCGGACGACTGATCTGAGATGAACAGTCGCTAGTGATTTGTCCACAGTCATTCTATGACTGCTCGTACTGATGTTTTTTTCTTCCCGGTACATTAGTCACGCCTTAAATCAGCCATTCGTTCTCCACATCAAATCATCATTTCGAAATGAGGCAAAAAGTTTTGTCGAGATCATGAGAATAAGACGAGTGTATATCTAAAATCCTTTTTTTAAAAACTCAGTTTTTTCGGAGGCTATAAAAATGACGATAAGAATAATTAATAGCTGGAAGTTTCTTTATATAGTTATGGTTGGTTTCCATTTATTATCTATTAACTTGTTAGTTGAGCCAAGATAGCTGAACGTAACTAAAATTTATTATGATTTCCTCTACCGAAGTCTAAGATCTAGAAATAGCAGATGTCATATAGAATTGCGTTCTGACATTTTTCAGACTCCTGTAGTCAGCCGCCCTTTCTACTCGGGTTTTGCTCGAACGGTAGTCTAGTTCTTTTTCCTGTGATTTATTTAAATGTTAAGATATTTGTTAGAAATAAAACCTTTAAAGTGTACGACATGTTTTGGTATAAAGATTTTAAAAATTCGAATATGGGTTTGGTTTATATTGTCTCAGTCGCGATTATCCCGTCCGGAAAATATTTTGGAACAATTTTCATTGCCCTGCGAGACGAAGCAAACAAGTAAATAAATTGATAACTTATTCAATGTTAAAATAAAAATATCAGTAACTAAATCAGTTTACTCATTAGATGAATAGTACTTGTATTGCTAGTCATTTTATATTTTTCGATGAAAAAATTTTGATGTAAATAGAAAAATGGTTGTTCACATTGACTCATTATGATATTATAAGTCAAAAAGAATCGCATGCACTATCATATGCAAATATATCTTTTCTTCTTTCGTTTCCTTTCCTTCATTTTACGAAATTTTCTAAACGTTCTCTTCTCTTGATACAGTCAAGATATTTTGCTCTCTAACAATGTTTTCTTGCAAGTCTGATTGCTTTCTTCCCTAGTTTGTTCAAATATATATATATAGAGAGAGAAATGTCAATTGGAATATAAAAGACATGATTTAGTATTGGTTTATTAAATGCATCATCTGTTAACAATATTATATTTAATTAAGTTCAAAAATGGCAACAACAATGGAAATTGTTGAAGTACAAGCTTATGTTTCTAACGAGGAGATAAACACAAATCAAATTGTAAATAATGAAAATAGAAAAAGTAAAAACAAAAGAGATAACGAAATTAGCTAAAAACGCATTATGTTTAACAATACTGAAAAATCTGAAGAAGCAGTAATAAATAGTATTACTGCTGCAATAAACTTCTGTTAATTGTAATTATACTTTGTTTTTATTAATCTGAATCAATAAAAAACGGAAGAAAAATAAATAAATTACTGAATTTTTAAAAATTAATTACTGAACATATAGCAAGAACAGATACAAAGCAATTAAATATAATTCTTTCTTTCAATATTACAATGAAGTTAATTATGTCTTTCAAATCGGTTTAAGGTAGTGTATACTCCGATAAAAATATGTTTCATTTTCTTTGTAGTTCGGTCAGTTCGAATGTTCAAGGTCTTCATGACATTTTTCTTGTATGAATAATTTAATTCAAAAGCATACTGTTTGCTCGAAGTTTCATGCCGAAAGGCTATTAGAGAAGCAGCGAGATGAATAATATTTAAGAATATCTTTAAACTTTTAACATTGAAGTAAACTTATTCATCAATGTTTCTCCTTTATGACATCTTCGCAAACATTTATAACTTTTCTTCTGAAAAATTAAAATTATATTCAATACATAGGTAGCGAAAAGAACAAATCTATATTTATTTCAAGATGGATATATTACTCATCATATATTTTGTTTCATAAATTGCAAACAAAACAAAAATCGTTTTCGTCCAAAATTTCGCTTGCACATTGGAAGAAAAAAGTAATATTAGTAAATATAAATTTTATTAAGTGAATCGTGCAAAAGAAATTCATCGTCCAGGGTATTTACATTGACTGAAATATAAGATTTAACAGCAACGTACCGATAAAGAAAAACAGAACCAACTAAACATACTTTTTTACATACATCAGTTGACGATCAGAACTTCGTTCTTTTTCTCTTTTTTTTTCTACCAATCAAAGCTTCTATAGCAAGTCTTCAAAGCATAATACTTTATATCGATATTACAACACAAGCAAAAAAATTATTAATACACCATCGAAGATCATATTCTACTTTACAAACAATTCAGTGTTCATAGTTCATCATTTACTAACATGGCTGACATAGAAAGAGGAACGAATGAAAACAGAGATCCAATTGAATCAATTCCAAAACCTATACTTGCAATACTTGGTTCAATTCATTGTCTTGTGATACTGTGTGTTACACTCATTATTCCAATACTTGAAGTAGCTATTGGCGCATCATATCGTGATCAATGTCCAATTAATTCAAATATTCCGGTGTATCTTATTGTAACAGGCGCATGCGGTATGGCTACTATTGTTCTTGCAGTAGTCATAGTAAGATACTAATTTTAGTTTTCTCTTAAAGAATTAAGTTTAATTAAATTAGGTCGCTGCATTTATATGTTGTATTAAACGAAATTCTATTGCTGTAACATTTGCTATGTCATGTCTTGTGATTCTTATTATGTTATTTATAGGATTGATGAGTGTATTTTTATTTGCTTGGTTTATTGTGGTAAGTAAGGTGTCGGAAACAGAAAATTACGACAGAACTTTTTTTCTTTGCTTTATACATGGTTAGGTAGAGCGTGACTAGCTGATCAAGAATATACACGTTTTCAATTTTTCTTGGAATAATCATTTACGGGAACACTTTGAGGTCGTCTTTCTTAATGAAAACAGATCCATTTTTGATAAGCGACAAATGTTTAATCTGTTCATTTCATTTAAATTTCAAAATTATCTCTTTCAGATTCAGCGTGCATAACTAAATCTAGAGAACTCATTTATTGGAGATTTTTTGATTATCGAAAATTAGCCTATTTTTCAAAAAAGTAGATCATTTGAAAAACCTCTAAATTTTTCCGTACAGTATTATTCCAAAAAAAGGTGAACACGCATATTCGCAGTCAGTACGTCACACTATCCAACTATACGTATAGCGAAGAAAACAACTTCTGCTTTAATATAACACTTTCGTCACATTATTAATTAATTTACTTTCATTAACATATATTATATCTCAAATAGGGTAATGTATGGATATTTGGAGCAAAGAAAGATGTTCAGTATGATTATCCATCATCAACAAGTAATTATTGCCATCGTACATTATATGAATTTGCATTTGCGATATTAATTATAACCTATGTTATGCCGGTTGTTTGTTGTATTGGTAGTTGCATTCGTAGTTGTTTTCAAATTCAGAAAACAGTGGAAAAGTGATCAAAGTGAAATTGTCAAGAACAACAAAAATGACGTTATAATCTTAAAGAGAAAATAAAACATGTTTTTGTTTCTATACACTATTTTCAAACGGAGATAGATTTTTAATAATTACCTAAATGCTACAAGCAAAATCGGTAAATTTTTTAAGAAATACAAATATTTTGCTTGCTTTTTTTGCTGATTATAATAGTAGTTCGAAAGTTGTAATGGATTTTTAATTTTTTTGTAGTTACCATTGTTTGATTTTTTGTATTCATGATGATTAAAATATTTAAGTCTTTATGCATGTTTTTGTATTTGATCTTAATATTCCACTTCAGATGCATCTGAATTTGAGATCAAGAGAAGAAAATTCAATATAACTACACAGTGAAAGATGTCTTTAAGTTACATTTACTTGATTACTTGTTTAAAAGGGCATTATATATTGCATTCCTTCGTTTTTTAGCATATTAAGTTTTAATGTATGGCAGACTTTCTTTATTAATCAATGAATATATCAGCGTTCAAAGTGAAAGTAGGTATGATCTCGATTTGAAGGGAAAATTGATGTTAAAATTTGAACTATCGGCACCAGAAGTTCGTGCACTCAGATAGATTTTTGAATAACTTTCGATAGGAGCAAGTTAGAGACCTTCGATTTTCGCCATTCGACAGAGAACAGAATGGGGCATCCAGGTATGTCAGTTTTCATTGGTCAATATGTTGACCAGTCAGATTGTTTTTTTTGTGAACATTATTACGGCAGGATTTTCAGGGTCAGTTTCTGATGTGATTTTGTCTCGTGATACCACCATTCGATTGTAAAACTTATTCTCTATTGATCTACGCGAGGCTGACTTTTCTATGTTGTTCTGTTGAAATATATGAAGATTTTCCAGAAACCATCCATTTTGGGCTAGTTGACCTCTGATTACTCGAAAATGTCTCTAGAGAGAGGTAATCGCCCATGCTGCATCAAGTGGTGATATTTTTCTTTTTCGTTTCAAAGCAATCCGACATATCTATAGCGAGCTTTTCAAAATATCGTATTTTTCGATTTTATACTGAGAAAATATCAAATATTAAAAGATCCGCTCTATAGAGATGTCGGATTGCTTTGAAACGAAAAACAAATATCACCCCTCGAGGCAGCATGGCCGGTTACCTCTCTCTAGAGACATTTTCGAGTAATCAGAGGTCAACTAGCCCAAAATGGAGGGCTTCTGGAAAATCTTTATATTTTTTAACAGAACAACGTAGAAAGGTCAGCCTCGCGTAGATCAATAGAGAACAAGTTTTGCTATCGAATGGTGGTATCACAAAACAAAATTACATCAGAAACTGATCTTGAAAATCCTGCCTCAATAATGTCCACAAAACAAAATAATCTGATTGGTCAACATATTGACCAATGAAAATTGGCATGCCTGGATGCCCCATTCTGTCCTCTGTCGAATGGTGAAAAGCGTTGGTCTCTAACTTGCTTCTATCGAAAGTTATTCAAAAACCCATCTGAGTGTGCTGACTTCTGGCGCCAATGATAGTCTGTAGATCACTGTTGTATGCGAATTCTTATTGATGGATTAGAAAGAGCAGTGACATTTCGATTAATGCAATCAAAAATGGATAAATTAAGTTTGAATCTATGAAGTTATCAACAATTTTATACATAAGAATTGCTTCAATAGAATACTGTCCATCAACACTCGAACTTTTACTTGATTTATCGAATGATGATTGTAACAGGCGACCCATAAGGAAAAGAATTTTGTTGCGCTACAAAACTGTGAACTTTGTTCTTTATATAAGTTTCTTATATCTCATAAAAATCGAAAAGATTAACATCTACTCAGTCATTGAGCTGCGACTATTAGAAAACAAAACAATTATTAAAAATATGTTTAAGTAACAGTTTCGTCGAGTTTTGAAATATGCTTCAAGGTACTCCGTGAAATGTTGCATCTCACGATTTTTCAATTTCAGAAGAAAAACATTTGGAAGAGCAATTTTTTAAGTAAAAGTCAGAAAACGACGCAAAAACTCTTTCTGACAATTATATGTCATTAGAGATAATCTACAGGTCTTTGTTGTTGGGTTTAGATATTACATCATTTTGTTTCAAATTGATTCTTGCATGCAATGGTATAATGATAAACGGTTCATAGAATACACTAAATTTTAAAAACACGAGGTTCTATAGCTGATTCAAATTGAAATATGATCAGTTGTTAGTTCCAAGCCTTTTACATCTCAACAATATAATTAAGAATCTCAAGAAAGATCTTGAGCGTAGAGCAAATGAAACTTGATGTCTATTGGTGCTAAATACTCCACATTTAGCACTGAACTTTATGAGCATAAACTTGCAAAAATTGTTAGATATACGTAAAAGATCATAATTAACCAGTGAAACAGCCGTTAATTTTTCCAATTTTTCGTCGACAAGAAAAGCTTGTTGAAAAAAGGAAGTTGATATTTTTATAGAGCAAAAAATTCTCTATCAAATGGGCTCAGAATGATGCCTTTGAACAATGCTTTCGTTCTTCAAAAACGGAAAATTAAACTGTCCTAGTATTTATGTGCTACGCGTTATTAATTGAAATATCATTGTTTCCTATCAGGTCATCGATCAGCATCCGAATACAACATCAGTCTACAAACTAAATCGAGTTTTAATATCAGTTTCTCCTTCAATCTGATATTTGACGCTAACACATGAATACTTCTTATTAAATATTAAACACCCTTTCTTAAAATATATGACATCAGAAAAATTTTTTGCTACATTATTTCAATGTTAGTTTCATTCAATTGTCTATTGTATTCTCTATATGAATTACTAATATTGATAATGTTTTACATTAGTTTCTTTAAATAAGTATTCGACTTTGACTGAGTGACATAGAGTAGTAACATGAATAATTCGTAAGAGCAAGCGAGCGAAAAAAAAAGAAAATCAATATGCTTTAGTAGAAGTCTATTCAAATGTATATAATCAAATGTAAAGAGTATGAAGAAAAAAAACCTCTAAAAGAGAGACCAAGACAAACAAGTAGTTGCGTTTAACATATTAACCATAATCATTTTTCTCATTTTTTTGTATTACACAAAAATGGATCCAATGCCAAAAGAAGGAACTAATGAGACTATTCCGTTAAAACCTCTAGTAGGTTCAAGATCTTATATGCCAGTATCTGAAGTTGGTCGAACATTTGGCACGACTTATTTTCTTTTGTAATTCCAGTTTTTATCTAATAAAAATATAAACTCTTATGTTTCTAGTTCGACACTACTTGCGTCTATCATTCCAATAATTCAATTAGGAGTTGGCTTATATTACAAAGGTAAATGTCCAATTGATCAACATATTCCAACTTATATGATCGTTGCTGGTGTATGTGGTTTAGCATTAGCTGCACTTTCATTATTTCTTACTGTGTAAAATAAAATAAAATAAAATAATTTTTTATTTTAATATTTCATTTTAGTACATTTAAATGCTTTATTTCGGATTCAGCAGCATTAACAATATTGGCTAGTTGTGGTATATGTTTAAATTTGGTAGCAACATTTCTTATTTCAATTTTTGTTTTTATTTGGTTTATTCTTGGTTGTGTGTGGGTATTTAGTATTCGTCACCAAGTACAATTTGAATCTCCATTAAAGCCTAAGTATTGTCATCCTGTCTTATATAAAACAACATTCGCTTTGCTCATTATAACAATCATTTGGGTTTGTGTTCAATGTTGTTTATCATGTTATCGAACATGTAATCCACGTCGAAAGCCTTAAACAAATGAATATAATTAACGACATATTTTAGTATAGTTTTTCGCGCGATATTTCCTTATTAACAATTTTTCTCCTAAAAAAAATAGATTTCAAGAACATATTTTATATTTTGTTGTTAAGATGTTCATCAAAATGTATGAATCATGGCTGAAATATTTTGACATTTGTAAGATTATCATGATTTTTTTGTTCAATTGTACACAGGCGAATGATTCTGGCGCGTAGAGTCTTTTATGTTCAAAGTTTACGAACCTAGTCGAACTGTACTTTGGTAATCTCAGTGAAGTTTCTCAATTGGAATCAGATAGTCACTCCAAAGATACTAGATACTTTTTTCCGATCTCATGGTCGAATTTTTCTAGTTTCGGTCAGAAACGGACAATAGATTCCGTTTTCCAGGTTTCTGCTGTTTCTTGGACGGTACTTCTTGACTTGGTTTACTTTATAATAATGTGTACATTTCATATTTAGATTGTATAAAGTAACTTCTTTGATTACAGAATGCAGATATGAATCCATCATGATGGCTCATCGTATTGAGTACTCCAAAGAACAATGAGTACAGGTTTTTTTTATTCACTAGAATAACAATTAATTTGTTGATCATTCAATATGTCATTTCAATATGCAATTGATACCATGTGATAATTGTTGAACAATTCTTGAGAGTTTAGCAGTTCAAATGAGCAAAATGCCGATTACAATTTGAAAAGAGACAGACAAGCAATTATATCGTCAAATAAAAATCGAAGAAACATCATTTTAAAAAGCACTATTGATTTGAAATGCATACGATCAAATTAAAACAGAAAAACTCGATTGAGATTTTTAAGAATTTCAATAGAATTGAGAAACAATTTTTTTTTCTAATTCAATGAGAAATAAATAGACGAATCAAATTTATATTTCTACTAGATCGTTTTATTTCAAACGATTCTCATCTAAACTCTGGTATTATGATAAAAACTCTTCATATTAAAAAATCTCTCGATAATAGAAAATTTGCTGAGAAAACAAAGCTTTCTGACATAATAGAAAAAATTTCATTAATAATATAGTTTATGAAGAAAGTGTAAGTTTAATCCATATATTTAAGCGAAAGAATGTCTATTTTTAAGATTCTAAGCTGAAAAACGACGAAGATTAAAGCTAAAATTATTTTTCTATCGTTTATTTTTCGTTATCCTGAAGAACTCTTCCAGTTGCACCAACGTTTAGTGTTTTTCTGCCAAATTTTTTCGACTATTAGTAACTAAAAAAACAAGAAGAATTCAACAGAACATTTCCCATGGGACATTTATCTGCACAAACATAATAGAACACCTGGGGTATTCTATTATACAATGAAGAGTAAATTATACATAGAGATCGATGTTTTCTTTTTATTTGTTATTTATTTTTACTTTAGTCCGATAAATAATAGAGAAATATTCATATTGACATTAATCTGTACTTAAATGCTTTTCCTACACTAAATGATATAATTACGTAGTTTGTTTACGTTTTGTTTTTCTTCAAGAAAGAAAGGCTTGGGATATCTAAATAGTTTATTTATATGCCTATATATTGATCGAAATTACATTCATTAAGCTGCGAACCGAATTTTAATTATTTCTAAATCAAAATATACAAAAGGAAAAGAGTTGCAAACTAAGTTTTCACATGCTAATTATTTACATAACATTTCGTGTACGATTATTGAGACAAAAATATTGTTCATTTGTTTTTCATTGACAATGTTTCTTTTGTACAAATGAATAGATACTTTGAATTTTAATAATTATACCTGTTGAATATTTACAGTACTGATCCAAAAGAAAAAAAAACCAACGTGTTTTTCGTTATTTTCTACGATATCAAGCATTTAACTTAGATCCTAATACTAGTTTCAATAGTCAATGAAGTGCTCTATTCAATGCATTTTATATCGAAATTTCATAGATGGATTAGAAGAAGAACGTTTCTAAAAAATAAAATACTGTAGTTATCAAGTTTTAGAAGACTTTGTAGTAAATTAGCTTATAATAGTACTAGTTTAAAGAGTACAACATTCTGAATAAAATGAGGGTTTGCCACGTTTTCTTAAAAAGTTGTACGCATCACAAAGCGAAATTTATCATAGTATTGGTAAAAGTTGTATTTTTAGTTTTTTTAATACTTATAACTTCTTACGGGAAGGTCGTATGAGCCAAGACCTGACAACTACCGTGTTTGGTTTTTCAGAAACCTTTCTCTCCTAGCTCGGCGTGAAATTTTTGGTACGGAATGCATTTGATAGAGAACTTTGTTGGGTATTCAAAGCACTGTTTGAATTTGAGTTAAACGTTTGATATCATAGAAAAACAATTAAAACCATTACATTAGTCTTACCTTTTTTGACTAGTACTGTAGCAATAGACACAGATTAACAATATTAAAGAGTTTATTCTTAAAAAAAAAATTTCCAAGTTTATATATTCAACAAAAAAAAATTTTTTTTTTCGTCCATTCATTATTTCTCGGGTGTTGATTGTTTCCAACGGCGATGGAAATCATCAATATGTTGTACAATTACTCCTACAAGAAAACAATAGTTTACTTTTGTATTATGAAAAGACAAAAATAAAAAAAGAGGTTTTACCGTCTTTTTCAACTGTTTGTTGTTCTTTAGTTGTTAATGTTCTTGCAAAAAGTAAATTGACTGTTGACATTGAATTATTTGTTGTTTGTTTATCAAGATTACTTTGTTGTGCAAAATAAAGACAACAATCAATTATTTCTTGAAAACGATAAAAATCTTTAGTTTTATTATTCTTTTTTTTATTTTGATTTGCTATTCGTTCATGTACGGCTTGTGTACGAATAAATCTAAGTAAAAAGAACAATTTTAAATCAATTAAAAAAGCTTGTCAGTGAAACCTTTTTGGGACTAAAATGTAGAGCTCACATATGCTGTGTAGCCTCATTAAACTAATAAAAAATACATTAAATGAAAAATCTCAAGAAGACTATACTTGTTTTCAAAAAGTCGTCGATCGCTACAGTTAGGATCTCTCTTGCATTTCGAAAAGAATTCTTTTTCTTTCTTTTTTGTAACATTATTATTATTATTACCATTGATTTAACTGGCAAATAAACCTGCTGCATGTGTTCATTATAATTATATCAGGTCTCAACACAGTTGTATATCTCGATAAAGTCATAAACACTGATATTGATTATTCTTCTAACTTATAACTTGGCCTGTTCACAGTTCTTATATCAATCATATGGCGACTGTTGCAAATCAAAGCAACATTATCCATCATTCTTGGGATCTATCATATAAATTTTTCTCTGTACAAAAATCAGGAACTGTACTATTGAGAACGATGACACGACAGCTGAGTCTAACAGAAAGAATAAATTAAAGAAATACAAAACAAAGTAGTTCTATTTGAGTAAGTCAACATTCACATCAAAAACTGAACAGCGCTCTTGCTCATTTGGAGAATAAATCTTGTATGATCAGATGAAAAATCGAAACTTGTTTTTGTCATTTTTCATCAAGAAGTTCATACTTAACATGTTTTTTTAGTTTTGAGTCTGGATAGAAGTGTTCATCTTCTTTTGACTCATACGCTTCTGAAGGTTAGCATCAAGTTATTACAATAATGTTAATAGTCTTGTTTATTTCCCTCGATATAATTGCTCATCCATCTCTGCTCAGAGCTCATTGTGAGAGAATCCATCAATTTATGAATCTATAAAACGGAACAACATGAAAGTTTGATATTGGCTGAACGATTGCAAGTCGAACTTGCCAGACTAAAAGAAACGTATTAAATATGAACTGCTTGTTGAAAACTGACAACAACTAATTTCGACTTTTCATTTGATTACAAGAGACTTATATTTTGAATGAGCAACAGCTCTGGTCAATTTTGAACGTAAATGCCGACTTATTCGAATAAAACTATTTTCTTGTATTTCTTTAATTTATCTCTTATGCCAGGTTCATCTGTCAGTGTACCACTTGAAATATTCACAAACGTATGTCAAACATTCAAATTTCAATAATAGTTTTCGAATGTTCTAGAACATTTTAACGCTTGTCGTTAATGGTGATCAACCTCTTTTTCCGTTGCTAAACAGATTTCTCAGGCAACTAGATCTCATTCGGTCCACGAATTTTGTACCCGACTCCAACTGGATCCAGAGTGAACCCGATGGACTCTACTTCCTCCCGTTGCTATGAGAGGCTAGCCGGGAAATCTTGGCTTAAAAATTTACACTAACTATATTTTTCTGCAAAAAGAACATGATGTAAATTCCACAAAATACCTGTTTCCAAGACGAAATTGATTTTCAAGCCATCGAATAGCATCACGTGCCTCACGTTGTTCTTTTTTTAATTCATCAAGAATATCAATTACTTGAAAAAAGAGAAAAAAAAACGAAATAAATTTTTTGAATATCTTCATCGAACAATAAAACAAACCAACAAGTGGAATAATAATAATAAAACGTTGTGATTGAACTAATTTTTGTATTAAATTAAGATTTGTACATAAAACAGATGAATCAATAACAAGATAAGGTGGTAGAGAAAATTCTTCATTTTTTAAACTATTTTCTAATTGACTTATTTCAGCTTGTAAACGAAGTGCAGCCATATCACGCATTAAACGTGATTTACGTTCTTCGTCAGCAACTGTATCTGATGTTTTATTTGATGAAGAATCTAATGTTGATGTTGATTGTTCAAATGGATTTGAAGCAATAAAAGATAATTTATCATTATCATAATTAAATTGAGAATTCGACAATATTGACGTTGCATAATAACCAAAACGACGTAGGGAACAAATACGAATTATTGTCTAAAAAGAAATCAATAAAAAGAAGAAACTTTTTAAATTTTATTTATTCATCTTCTTACAGATTCAAGTTTATTTAATGATGATAATTGATTTAAATTTAATTTTTGATAATTTCGATCAACTTTTAAAGATTGAAATGCACGTAATTGAATATCTTCA